GGGGGGGGGGGGGGGTAGATGAGGGATTGTCGCTGGGAAATGAGAATTCTAGACTGAAGTGGAGAAATTGTAGAAGAATTATTCAATTTTGATGATTGTGAAATTATTTGGAGTGTCAAGAGACAGGAAATTACATTGACATTTATTTCTTAAATTATGCATTATTGCGTTGATTTTATATTTGATATGAAATTTTGTGAATTGAGTTTTCATTAGGAATCGAGTTTATGGAATTATTTAGAATGTCAAGAGACAAAAAATTACCTTGACATTTTCTTATTAAATTATGCATTATTGAGGTGATTTCGCGTTTGTTATGAAATATTAGGAACTGAAACGATGAAATTCTTTATAATGTCAAGAGACAAATAATTATATTGACATTTTCTTGTTAAATTATGCATTATTCAGATGATTTTATATTTGCAATGAATTATTAGGAATTCAATTTTTCCACTTCACTCCTCCATTATCTTGCGAATATCTAAAAAGGAAATAGTTTTTGAAGAATTCATTCGAGACATTTTTATTATCCATTAATATTTGCTAATAAAGCTACTGTTTTTCAAGATATTAGCAAAATACTGGGAATAGAATTCTTCAATTTGTCCATTTTTTTTCACCGATTCGTTACAAATAGAGAATTTAAGGATTGGATCAATTTTAATGACTCTACATGATGAAAAAGGTTGATGAATGTTTCGTGATTATATTTTACACCTCATACCTCTAAGAAGAACTGATTTAAACTCCTCATCATTGTTATTCACCTCGAAACGTGAGGATTTTTGTTTAAATATTTTGTTTTGCATTCTTTCGCAGATTGGGAACTCTCCTTCAGGAAATTGGCAATGTTAACGATGATGGTGGCAAAACAATCATTTTCGTTGAGACAAAGAAAAAAGTTGAAAACATCACGAATAATATTCGTCGTTACGGGTGGCCAGCAGTCTGCATGCATGGCGATAAGTCACAGCAGGAACGTGATTATGTTTTAAGAGGTAAACAGCCAAATAATTAACAAATTATTTGTTCATTCAGTGAGTGAACAGTAAAATTATCTCAATTGGACAAAATTGTTTTTGAGAAAATTCCCCTCGAACGTCTTTTGACAAAAAATTCTCATGAAAAAAAGTTGCGATATTTTTCTGAAATTATTTTATCAAAGAATAATGTCAATTAATTTAAAGAAGTTTGTTCAATTTCTAGATTTCTATTTTTAATTGTGCAGAATGGAATAAAAAATACTGGATTTTCCTAAATGTATTGACATTTTTCTGTTAAAATGAAACGAAAAACGTTGACTTTGTTGAAATTAATGAATTTTACTCTGAAAAAAAATTCAAATTTCCATTCTCCATTCAATTATTTCACACCCAAATCATTTTATCGCAAAATAATCGCAATTAACTTCGAGAGATAAACTCAATTTCTAATTTTGTTTCTTCCACAGAATTTAGGAACAAAAAAGGCTCGATTCTCGTAGCAACAGACGTTGCAGCTCGTGGATTAGGTAAGAATCAGCTCCAAGTAAATCGATAAAAAAAAATCATATTACTACTATTAAAAAACGCGGAGTCATGAACTTGATTTTTAAAACGGGATTGTTCGAGATAAAATCAGTGATTGAAGTCAGGGAGGGTGGCGATGTAGCACAGACTGGTTATATGAAGTTGATGCCTCACTCGTGGAGTTGAGATGTAGAGAAAGCTTATCCAGGATTTTCCAGGTGATGTTTCACTGCTGGTGGCTCACTTCAGATCCGCATTTTTTTTCGTCTCGAGTACTTCGACTTATTCAAACTAACAAACACCTCTAGCCAATTGAATTCCCTCAGTACCTTCATCCTTTATGTGTCTAGTGGGATTGATCAGTATTTATCCTATTCTTAATTGGTCCATCTAGATATATTCGAGAGTAGTGGGAAAAATTGCAACAATTAGATCAGATCATTAACATTGGGGGTTTGTCGAAGGATTAAGAGACAGTAAAAAATAATCGAGGAAAAGGAATAAGTAGAGTTAATCCTTCAGTGGAGTTGTGGAATAGGAAGTTGATTTCCCTTGAGGATTAGTTTTCGTGAATCTCACAATTCAATTGAGAGCGAAATTTTCATCAAAACTCTTTTATAAAAGAAGTGTTTATGATAATGTTACCATCTTTTTTAAATTGAGAGTTATTCATGAATTTTTTTGCTGTGCCCTTGATAAATATTTTCCAATCGAACGAAGATAAAAAAATTTATAAGAACTTATGAAGTAGCTCTCATTTTCTTCTAAAAAAATTCTTCACTAATTTTTCTTCAGTCCTCTTCGTTTCCAAAATGTTTATTAAACACTTAATTGATCTGAACTTTATTACTCACTCGTCAAGACTCATCCTCAACTCAAGTCGAACAATTCTACTCCACAACTCAGCTACTGAATCCTATTTAGCTGATCCATTAGTAAATTTCTGGAGTATGAAGTTGATTTCCCTTGAGGATTAGCTTTGGTAAATCTCGCAGTTTAAGAGTGAAATTTTCATCAAAACTGTTTTACGAAAAAAGTATTTATGAAAATGTTAGCTCTTTTAAATTGAGAGTTATTTCATTTTTTTATGTCCCCTTGATAAATATTTCCAAATTTAAAGAAGGTGAAGAAAAATTCATAAGAACTTTTTGTGTAACTCTTATTTTGTTCTACAACAATTGGTCACTAATTTTTCTTCATTCCTCTTCATTTCTAAAGCATAAAAAAGACGCAGAATAATTTATAACAACTTTCTTTAGCTCTCATTTTGTTCTAAAAAATTCCTCCCGAGTTTTCCTTCATTCCCATTCACTTCCGAATTGTTTATCCAAACCTCGATTGACCTGAACTTCACTACTCATTCATCAAGACTCATCCTCAAGTCAAGTTCAGTAATTCTACTCCACAACTCAACTACTGAATCCTATTTACTAAAAAAAATGGGAATGAAACATAAAGTTAGATGATAAGTGTGGGCATCTCATAATTTATTTTAATCAGTCTGGTTGTCCTTTGTTTCAGAGGCACATGGTGCACAGATGATGTTGAGTGTGCGATGAAAAAAAATAAATAAATAATCACGTTTGGATACGTGAAAACCATGGCTCACTCACCTGTCTGTGCTCTTGACAAAAGCTATATATGCAAGTGAATATATAGACGTACATGCGGAGATTTATCATGAAGTTTCCAAAAAATAAGAATAAGCATGTACTTCCAATGTGCCTCTGTGTGAGAGTCCTGTGTACCACGCAGGGTGGTAAGCGGGTCACTTGTCGCGCTGTTCACGGCTGTTCAATATATAAAAAAAAAAACAATATATTAATCCAACACAGTCGGGTCAGCAAGGTGCGAGACAACAATCTATTGATTTTGCTACTATCGCTGCTCGATAGGTATCTTGGTAGGATAAAAAAAAATATTCTGGAGTCAAGAAATAATTTATCGAAGAATGAGATTATGAATTCGGGTTAAAACACAACAAGGGGATGCGTGTGCTGGTTTATTGACTTCAGTATGGAATGCAATGTTCATCTGTTTATTCCGGTTTGTATTATCACAACATCCAACCTAACAATTTTTTTTTATGTAAACTTTTTTTTTAATTCAGTGGTGAGATGATGGAATAGGATTGATTGAGAATTCATTGATTTTATTTGAAGATTAAAGTGGAAGAGATATTTTTATTGAGAGCTTTACAGAGTGAAGGGACATTTTGATGAATGTTGCTGAATTCAAAGGATATAGCAAACGGTTTTTTCAGTTTTTGGTTCAACCTCAGGGTGAGTTTTTTTATAATTATCTAATTCAAAGGAGTTGAACATTTCTGTTGAGGATATTCAAGGACTTTGGCTATTTTTTTCCGAGTGAAATGCTTCTTCTACTTTCGTAGTTAACCCTGAGTTTCCAGATACTTTGCAATGTTTTATTTTTTAAACTTTGCAGGGCTGAATTTAAGTCTTGATATTGAATCGTTAGAAAACATTTTAATAATCTGCAAAGATATTAAAAAGTTGACTTTTTGAGAAAAATTGGTGAAAGAATTGAAAAATTGAATTTTTTTAAAATTGTGAGCATCTATAAATAATTTATGAGCAGTGAATTTTCCAACACAAAAATAATTTTTTTGGAATTGTGACAAATTGTTCATATTCAGAATTTTATCAGAAATGGATTTCATGCCGAAAAAGTAAAGTTTTCGAACGTTTAAACAATATCAATTATTTATTTATAACCAATGAATGTTTAAAAAGTAACAATTCTGTGCAAAATGAGATTTGAAATTTTTCTCACGCAATTTAATTGACAAATTTAATGATTTCATTTGAGCCTCGTTTGAGTCTGTTTCCGGACATTGCACAATGATTTTATCATTTAAAATTTGCAGGTCAGAATTTAAATTTCGATATTGAATCATTAGACATTCTAAAAATCGGAAAAAAAATGATAAAATTTGCTTTTGAAGGAAGATTGATAAAATAATTTAAATTTTTTTGGAAAATTACGAGCATTCTCTATAAATAATTTATAAACAATAAGATTTCCACTATAAAAACCATTGTTCGGAATCGTATAAAATTTATTCATATTCAGAATTTCTAAAAAAAGGTTTCCGAAAGTTTAAATAATTTCAATTATTTATTGATAAACAACAAATGTTAAAAAAATAATAATTCTCTACAAAATGTAATTTGAATGACACTGAATATTCATAATTTTTTTTCAAAATTTTCTCACGCAATTTAATTGACAAATTTGATGATTGAAAATGGTTGAATCTATAGTTTAATCTGTACTAAACAGCAAAAAATACTTGGACATCCTTAAAAGAAGTTTTTTTCTGGATTTAATTTTCCTCAGCGAAAAAAAGTCCACAGCAACATTGCTTTCCCCTTCAGTTAGCAAGATATTTATAAAAAAATTATTCCCCCATGAATTTGTCCTGTCTTAATCCATTCTGTTATCCTCCACTACTGAATTACATTATTATCTATGTCATCCATCCACACACGCACAACATTAGCATTTGTTCCTGAGTTATGTTCATTACTAACGTTCTATCACAGTCATTTCATCATTTGTATTGACATTTGTCGATGGGATTGCAAAGAGTTTGTATCTCTTCATGAAAAATCATGGTACATTGCTGATAAACACAGAAACAGATTAGAGGGTGGGGAGGTTGAGGGTGAAATTGCTGATGAATGGATGTTGTTTAGACGTCGATGACGTGAAGTACGTGATCAACTTCGATTATCCATCGTCGTCAGAGGACTACATCCACAGAATTGGTAGAACTGGACGTTCACACTCAACTGGCACGAGTTATGCGTTCTTCACACCACAGAACAGCCGACAGGCTAAGGATCTGATTAATGTACTTAAAGAGGCTAATCAGGTTGTTAATCCTAAGCTGAATGAACTTGCTGCCAAGAGTGGAGGTGGATCTTATGGTGGACGCAGTGAGTATTGTTTTAATCTATTCTATTAATCAAATGTTCTGCAGTTTATTTTGATATTCAGGTATATCCGGGGAATTCACTCATTCAAATCGCATAAAACTCTTGGATTCTTGCTGATAATTAGTGACTTATCTTTTTATTTTAAGTCCCGGGTGTACTATCTTTCGAATGTTATCTGGATTTTTTTCATCTTTCGTAATCCAAAATTGTCAATTGAGTGGCATCATGCAGAAATTGCCAAAAATTATGATAGAATGATAAAAAAAATAGAAAAAATTCTGAACTTTTTCAAGGAAAGTTTTTAATTGAGATTCAGAATGAGTGGAAAAAAGGGGAAATTGCAAATATCTGATTCGCTGTGGCAAATTATCTATTAGCTGTCATTTTCCATGGTGGATAACAAAACACTGACTCCTCATGGGAAGTGACAGCTAGGTATCTAAATTTTCAAAACAGTGGTATGTAGTCATCTGCCATTTTTATGTGATAAAAATGTGATTAAAAAATTCTCCAAAATATTACAATCTTTTCCAAAGAGGCTTTTTCGTAATAAATGTCTGTGCAGTGGGGGAAAAGATTTATGAAATCAGTCTTCCCCCTGCATGATATTGGATGACAGGCCGCCATTTGTCACCGTAAATCAGATACATTCTGAATATAGATTAAAAATGCTCTTTGAAAAAATTAAGAATTTCTTCTACTTTTTTTGATTATTCATTCATAATTTTTCAAAACTTCTGCATGATGCAGGACTCAATTGACAATTTCAGATAACGAAAGATGAGAAAAAAACTTTGAGATAACGTTCGAAAGATAGTACACCCGGGCCTTAATGTTAATGTTTCAACTATGAAGTAAATGATTCATTTGGAAGAAGAATCCTCTATTAGAATGAAATAAACAATTTATTTGATTCAAATAAACTATATTTCTGAGTTAATGAGTGGGTCTGGAGGAAAAAGTCAACAAACTTTGCTTTTAGTCCATAAAATTCCTCACAAAAATGTCTTGATATTTTTCCACAGACTTCTCCCTTAAAAAAAATTGTGAACATCTAAAAGTCACTTTTGACGTGGTTGTTATTACTTTAATAATTAATTCATCACAATGATTTTGATCAAATTAATTATCATTCCAATTATACTTTTTACACTTCACAAAATAGGCCCACACAAATATTTGTGGCCTTACCAAGTGAATAAATAATTTTCTTCTCTTTATTTTGTTAAATTTTACAAAAAAAAAAGATTGAAAAATTTGTTATTAATTTCTCTGGATACAGTGGGTGGGTCTAGGAGAAAATGTCGAAAGATTTTATTTCTAGTTCATGAAATTCTTCACAAAAATGTCTCGATAAATTTACATAGAATTCTCCCTCTTGAAAAAAATTGTGAACATCTGAAAATCCGTTTTCACGTGTTTGCTTCTATTCCACTCATTAATTCCCCCCAATAATTTAAAAAATAATAATCATGTCAATAATACTTTTTAAACTGTACAAAAGATCTCACCCAAATCATTAAAAATCGATGAACTGTCTAAATAATTTTCTTGTCTTGCAAAACTTGTCATTAATTTTTGTTTCCATTAATTTTCAGATCGTTGGGGATATGGAGGTGGTCGAGGTGGGCGTGAAAACACATTCTCAGGACAGCATAAACGATTTGACAACCGTGGCAGTGGCTATGGAAACTACAGTTGATTATGTAATTCAACCAATGACCATGGCAACCGAACTAATTCCTGGGAGGCTGGATACAACCACAGTTGGTTTTGAAACTGTCATTTAAATAAGAAAAAAAAATTGAAAAAAAAACAGATCAATCTCTAGTAACCCAAAACGTAATCGGTTATCAGTGGTTCCAGTATCACAATAATTTCATTTGTATTTATCATAATTAATAAAAAGGTACCTTTTTAGCTTCAGCTGTGTCACTTTTTGACAAAGGTTTAGCATTGATTTATCAAGTTCTTTTTGCATTGGTGATACGTCGTAGTTTCAATTCTCCTTTCATATTCAAATAGATCAAATGTTTATCTTATTTTATTAGTTTAATTTAAACGAATGGATTTTTTTTTCGAAACTAGGAAATTCGTTTGGAGTTTAGATATGGCGTTTAAACGTGGACCATTTTTTTTCTTTAAATTATTGATGAAAGTTATTAATGAAGAAGAAAAACCCTTCAGTATTCATTCCATTGATTCGGGAATAGGGTCAACAGGATCTTACATATATTTGATCTGTAAACACTAGTTTTTATTTTCTTTTTCCTTGTTATTGTAATCGATGTACACCAAACTTAATAGTACAGAACAGAAAATTGAGGAATAACCGGGCGCTCTCAGAAAGTCACATAATCCGTAAATAATTTCTCGTCGTGATTGTAAAACTGTTACAAGAATTATTATAAAGGAAATGTCAATCTGATTGGGCATGTAGCCCATAAAACGAATAAAACAAATTCCGTGAGAATTTTTTTGTTTTGGGTTTATTGTTATTCAACTTATCCCAACCCCTCGATTTGTTACGCTTCTCAGGCTACAGGATGTGTTTTCAATTTTATTTTGATGCATTATTGTTATTGAATATACTAGACAATGGAATTCCTTCATTTTTTCGACATTTGATATTTTGTATTAAGGATAATCGGGCGAGGAGAAAATGTTGGAGGTGAGGCCTCCGAGGGGTTTCTATTGTTTTCCTGCAGAAAACCAATCGCTGAACAAAAAAAATTTTCCCATTCGGATTCAAAATTCAGGCAATATTAGGGAGTATCTCCGGTTAAAAATTATTTTTGGAGCTAATCAAATTTATTTGTATCTGTTCCACGCATTGAATGGTTTTCAGATTGTTTTTTTTTTAAATGAATGAAAAAATATTAATCCATGCGAAAAAGTGGCAACATCGTACCACTGGCTCGAGGGAGCTCCAATCACAACGCTTCATCGCTCTCTCTCAAGAGACGAGTAAATTGACCGCCCTACCCCCATCCGATCGGTAATTAATGAGGACTTTGCTGCTCTTTTGGGCTGCGTGCGCAGATATTTCATTTTTCAGTACTTTTTTCGCTATTATTAATAAACAATGCTCCTAGGTGACAATCTTTTTCACTCAAAAAATCATTGATCACATGTTCTAAATGTGTCTAAAGTTTCATGACTTTGGCTGCATTTTTTCCTTGGGTTTTGCAGTTTTTTTGGTGATTTCCTTAAGATCACGGGTTAAATGACCACTTTTTCAAAAATTCATAATAAATTAACCATGCTCCCCAGCAGTCTGAAATTTGGCACACGCCTTTTCCATCCTTTAAAGAATACGTAAAAAAAAAAGAAAAAAATGACTGCTTTTTTTCTAATCCTCCGGGCTCGCCCGATTGTCCTTAAGGTGGTACGTTCGAAAAAGGTAAATGATGGCATTCGAATGGAATTCGTATAGGATGACAGTTGGATTATCTATGATTTCTTCTGGATTTTCTTCTCAAGTTATCAATCGAAGTCGCTTCTTACACATGGGCTCTTAAAATGGTATATAAACATAGCTAGAATTTTGAAATTAAAATGTGAAATGAATTCTAAACGAAAGGTAATGTGAATATGGTGAACAGGTCAATTGCTACAAAATTTTGCTACAGAAAAATTCGCTCAAGTTCTTCCTTTTTTACGAACTATACATTCAATGGCCTCAATTTAACGCTCATTAAATAAACCTGAAAATGACACCTGATCTGCTCAATTCTGCCCATTTTTCATTGAGTTATGAGAGTTTTAGGAAAAAATTGAACTTTCATGTTTCACTTGGAAAATTAACTTTAGTTGGATTTTTCGATGCTAAAGTGGGCTAAGCAGGAGTATCTAAATATCACTTCGAAGAGCATTTACTATTATTCAAAATGGTGCATGATAAATCTCATTTAATTCAATTTTCAGAAAATTATTGTAGATTGTTTCTATTTTTTACGTTATGTCACACCTCGGAAATTACTTTCTGCCATTTATTGAGACGTTGGACATGGTCCTCGAGAATATATCATATGTCGATTTCAAGGTCTCAACGAGTTCTTCAATTTGCGACCCTATATTATTATTCCGTCCAATGGATCAATTGTTGAAAAAGGGTAATATAGCGATTTTAGTATGTCACGTTTTGAAAATTGCCATGTTTCTCCTTCTAATGACGAGATTTGTCGGCTTTGAGTTCAAATCTGTCGAGATATCTTACCCCTTAGTGAAAATATATATTAAATTACCTTGAAATTGATCCTTGAATTATTTGATTGAGACTAATTTCCTTAACATCTGGATTTTTCTATAACTATTGATCAAGCGAATGAGACTATTCATATACCATTTCAAAGGGTAGGGTAAAACGGACACTTTTGATTTTCTTCGAAATATTCATGACGTGTTGAATTGTTCATGAAATGGAATAATTTTATTTTTCATTTGAAAAACAATGATTCCTTTTTGTGATGAGCTTAGACTGAGCTCAATTGATAAATCTGTTTCTGAGTTATGAATATTTTTTAAAAAGTCAAAAGTGTCCATTTTACCTTACCCTCCCCTATTTGTTGTTGTAGAACGTAAAAATCAGGGGAATTAGAATTTAAAAAATTAAGACAAACATCGATCATACGCAACCTGGCTAGCGCGTGCATTCCACCTCATCGAAAATAAAAGAATCACCTAAATGGGAATATGATGACTTCGACACCTTCAAGAATGTTTTAATTAGCAGTAAAAAATTATTTGAAGTTAAAATAACAAAACAAAGAATAATGAAATTGAGAAATACTTGAATGCAGCCGAAACCCCTAATTTCCGGACAGCGTGGCCATATTTTTTTATTTCTTATAAATGTCGATCAACAGAAAAAATCATTGATCACATGATTACACACGTGTAATATTATTGAAAGGTGAAATAATCACTAAAATTTACATTTTATTATTCACGAAACAAAATTTTGATGGAAATTTACATTTTATTATTTAAGTTCAGAAACTAACTCCCGTCCAGAAATTGACCTGTTCACCCCAGTATGAAACGTCCGATTGATCAAACAGTTATAAAACATGGAAGCACCTCCGAAACGCACGATCCTCGACGTCGTCAACAGTCTAGGAGAGACTGGCATCTGCCGATTGATTTATTTCGCTGAGATAAAATCACACCAGCAAGTCTTGACTTTTTTCAACGACTACTCCACAAACAGTTTCTTCGATCGAGTTAGTGGGCTTTTACTGGTTTACCCGACGTCCGTGCTACATTTAGTCGAGGCCGACGAAGAAACCATTTACACGATTTGTTTGGATTTGATTATGAACGAGGCAAATGGTCTTGAGGTCTGCAGATGTCTTCCCGTCCACGTCAGCACCACTGGGAGACTATTTCCGAGGTGGTTCATGAGGAAAGTCAATCCACCCCTGGGACATTGCGGAGTAACGGAGTTCAGGGATATGGTGGAGATGAAAAAATTCTATTTCGATGTTGTCGATGCCTTTTACAAATTTTATTTCGAGTTGAGGGGAGGTACAGCCAATATTGTGAGTAAATTTTTTCAAGACAGTGGGTAGAATTCAATGTAAATAACTGAAAATTTAAAATTCATAAAACTCGAGAAAAATCTCCAAATCTAAGGGAGATAGCGAAATTTTCGTAACCACCTTTTTTGTAGCTCTCAATTCACCCCACAAAAAAGGTTTCAGCAAAAATTTTACTATCTACCTTAGATTGTGAGATATTTATTGAAAACTGACCAATAATCAAAATCGACTTAAGGCCCGGGTGTACTATCTTTCGAACGTTATCCCGATGTTTTTTTTTCATCTTTCGTCATCTGAAATTGTCAATTAAGTCCATCATGCAGAAGTTTCGAAAAATTGTGAATGAATAATCAAAAAAAGTAGAAAAAATTCTTAATTTTTTCAAAGAGCATTTTTCATTTATATTCCGAATAAGTTGAATAAGAAGAAATTGAAAAATGTATCTGATTTACGGTGACAAATGGCGGCCTGTCACCCAATATCATGCAGGGGGAAGACTGATTTCGTAAATCTTTTCCCACACTGCACAGAGACATTTATTACGGAAAAGGCTCTTTGAAAAAATTTGTAATATTTTGGAGAATTTTTTAATCACACTTTTATCACATAAAAATGGCAGATGACTACATACCACTGTTTTGAAAATTGAGATACCTAGCTGTCACTTCCCATGAGGAGTTAGTGTTTTGTNATTGAGATACCTAGCTGTCACTTCCCATGAGGAGATAGTGTTTTGTAATCCACCATGGAAAATGACAGCTAATAAATAATTTGCCGCAGCGAATCAGATATTTGTAATTTCCACTTTTTTAAACTCATTGAATCCCAATTAAAAACGCTCTTTGAAAAAGTTCAGAATTTTTTCTATTTTTTTAATCATTCTATCACAATTTTTGGGGATTTCTACATGATGTACCACTCAATTGACAATTTTGGATTACGAAAGATTAAAAAAATCCAGGTAACATTCGAAAGATAGTACACCCGGGCCTTAAATCGTTTTATCGCTTCGCTACAGAATTCATACAGAAAAAAATCGAATCTATAGACTTTTTCTATCAAAAAACCGCACGCCAAAATTCCCAATTTTCGCGTGAAATCTAAATCTAAATTTAAAATCACATGTCCGAATTGAATGATGAATTTTCCCAGCAAATCACATTTTTTAATTCCCTCTTCCAGAATTGCCAGTCATAATTTCCAATTTCAGGAAGAGTTGAAAGACAAATTGGATGCGCTAACTCACCAAAATACCACATCATCAATTCCATCAGAAAACTCGATCAAATCACTGCTGAAGACCCCCCGTGGGTTCGAATTGGCCGCCCTCACTGAAAATTACTGGAGCGGAATAGTAGAGAAGGAGGACATCATCTGGCCGTTTCCAGAGATCCGAGAGCCGTCAATCTCCCTCTCAGAACCGTAAAGACTTGATCGTAAAAACCAAATGCACGCAATGTTTCACAGGCCAAGGGTATTACACACATTGTGCCATCTTCGCGCCTCGAAGGAATTATCCAGGCATCCGTAGAGTTCATTGACTTTCAGACAATCTGTCTTCGACATTGCTCTTCTCTGTCCGACAACGGTGCCTGGCATTGTTGGTACTATGGTCGGCTTACCGGGACTTTTACTGAAATAATTGCTGCCGTAGTGCATTATACTGCTGTAATCGTACTCGTAACTGTAGGTGGTGTTCTCGAGGGATTGCTTGTCGAAATTTATCAGGAAATCTGGAGAAAACGTGGAGATTCGCACGTGAAAAAACTTCCAGGCAGCTGCAATCTTCGATACAGCTGTAATTGTACGTGGATACGTCCACGGTCTTTCCTTCCACGGACGAAAAAATTTAATAGAAAAACCTATCGAATTCGTTAGAAAATTCTATTCAGTAGTGAAGTGGTAAACCGAGTTAAGTCGATTTTGACTATTAGCCAGTTTTTTCTGAATATCTCGGAATCTAAGAGAGATAGCAAAATTTTTCTCATGACTTTTTTTATAACGCTCTATTGGCTCTACAAAAAAGGTCATGACAAAAATCTTTCTATCTCTTTTAGATTCCGAGATATTCGTCAAAAACTAGCCAATAGTAAAAAACCACTTAACTCGGTTTACCGCTTCGCTACTGTATTGAATTTCTATTGAACTGTTCTAGTAGTTTTTGGCCTATTCTACTAAAACGTTCAATGGAAAATATTCAGTAGAAAAAGTCAACAATTCAACTTTTCTCATAACTTATTCTATTGAGATATTTTCTGAAGAATTTTCTCGGCTCAAATTTTCTGTTTTTTCGTTTGATTTTCTTGATGAGAAGAAAAGAAAAATAGAGTGAAAAAAACTTGGAAAATTTGAGTCGAGCAAATTCTGTAGGAAATATATGAAAAGAATAAGTTATATAGAAAAATCGAATTCTGTTGACTTTTTCTCTTGAATGACTAATAGAAAGTTTAATAGAAATTTAATCGAATTTTCTAACGAATTCGAAGTTTTTCTATTCACTTTTTTCGTGCGTGTCTGTCTCGAATTTCCTAGAAACTCCTTGCATTTCCTCGAAATTTCTAGAAACTCCTTCAATTTTTTCGAAATTTCAAGAAAATTGTCGAATTACCTCGAAATGTTTAGACTTTTCTAGAATTACACATAAGGACCGTTTCCCAAAATAGCCCCCCATATTGAAACCCTAGACGTATCCACGTCAAAATTGAATAGAAAACCTAGCGAATTAGCCAGCAAATTCTATTGGAATTCTATTGAAAAATTCTACTTGTTTTTTGCGCTGAGTCTATTGCATATTTGATAGGAGAAAATATATTTTCGATTTTATAATTAAACGATTTTATAATTAATATTAACATTAATATTTTTTAATAATTTTTTTATTGAATAAGTTTTACATTTATTCACTATATTTTGAATTCCTGTTCGAATGTTTCTTTTGAGATTTTTTCTATTAGAATTATCGGGCACAAGTTTTCCACGTTTTTTCCGCTGAATTTTGTTTTGTTTTGCATTAAAGGATCCGAGTGAAAAAAACTTAGAAAATTGATGCCTAAGCGTTCTTACAGAAAAAATCTCAAGAGAAAAATTTAAACAGAAATGCGAAATCTATTGACTTTTTCTTGTCGAATATCCAATACAATCAGCGAGAAACAAATAGAATTTTTGAGTAGAATTCCTATAGAATTCCAATAGAATTTTCTAGCGAATTCGCTAGGTTTTCTATTAAAGTTTTTCATACATGTTAATTCAATAAAAAAATTGTATGAATTAAGAATGAATTATCATTGAATAGTCTTGAAAAAGAGGAACTTTTCCATCATCGTAAATTTCCGCAGGATTTGAATGCAATTGGATTCAAGACGCTAGTTTCTTCACTTTTCGAGAAATCTTTAAAAACCGCAAGTGAAAAACGGAAGTGGCCCTACGGCCCATAGAAGCCACTAAAAAATAAAAAAAAGAAAGAAGAATACAACGAAAAATAAATGCATCTTTGGTAATTACGAAAGTATGTGTCTCATCATAATCTCTTCGATCCGAAGTAAAAGGAATGACTTTTGTTGAAAACTACCAGTCTCTCAAACGTCTGAATCTTCCCTCTAAAGTGACGACTTCCCCATTGGAATTCACGATGGCATTTTAACGTCTCTGTAGACTATAAAATTTAGTAAATAATTTCTTATTGCCGCCTTACTTGAGAGAATATTCTCCTCACGAATAGTAACGAAAGTATCACGATCAGCTCTACTCTGCTCATGAAAAATTCCAAGTGTATGTAATAGCTCATGTACGGCTCTGCCCTCATTTCCAAGGCAATTCGGTCCACGCTCATCCGACGGTTGTAAAGACAGTAATTGCCCACCACCGAATTTGCCTACAAATGACCAGCACCTGCAGTAAAAATTTACTGAAAATCAACGTCGTGGGTAATGCCACAGGTCTGTTATGAGAAAATAATTACTGAATGTAAAAATGGAAAGAAAACCATTATGTGTTTAGCGAAGTGAACCGATAAGTTCAAATGCTCTGAATAAAAACAAGTGGGAAATTGCTTTCATCATAGCATAATCAATATGTTTTTTGTGATATCACGGCGTGCGAAAAGTGAATTCCCGTCCGTAAAACTTGGCTTTACGCACTCGACAGGTATCATAAAATATTTTTTATGCCACTCATGCCTGAAACCGGCTGGATTACACACTCGACGCTTCGTGTCTCGTGTCTAATTCAGCCGGTTTCAGGCTTCGTGACATAAAATTTTGTTCAGTACTTGTTGGGAAATTTCGTCCTTAACCTGTGTGGTTACATCACTCCCCTTCGGCTCATGTTGTAAACCCCACACACGTTAAAGACGATATTGCCCCACATGTACTGAAATATACTATTTTCGTCACAAGGCAGAAGAAGAGGCGAAGCCGAGGAATGCAATCATACGAGTCAGAATAGTATATTTCGTAACGAGTGCAAAAAAGTGTTTTTTGGCGAGTGGGAGGTTTATATCACGAGCCGAAGGCGAGTGATATAATCCCACGAGCTAAAAAAAAATTTTTCACGATTTCCGAACAATATTTTTCATCACAATGTGGCGGAAATGGGACTTTTAGGCACGCGGAGCGTGCCGAAAAGTTCACTTTTCGTCACAGCGTGATGAAAAAGTTCTTTTCGACCGAGTGACGAACATGACATTTGTTACACGTGCATGTGAAAAAGTGGATGTTTAACGAGGAAATAGTTCTAAAAAACCAGGAAATAATGTTCTTCTGAAGAATTTAAAAGTTCTAAGATTGATGCAAAGATTTTTACCCTTTGGGATATTTAATGGGCCAAATGAGCACGAAATCCTTGGCCTTCTCATCCCAAGGGACGAAATTAACACACGTCATGTAGTTCAGGTACGATATGGCTTTGTAAATTGTGACGTAATCTTCGGGACCTGAAATTGATGTACGTGAAGATTGATGTACGGACCTGGATGCGTTCCGAACAGTGAACTTGGCAGGTATTACTAAATAGTATGTTTCGATACGAGTGCGTAATAGTATATTTCGTTACGAGTGCGGAAAAGTGTTTTTTCGGCTCGTGCTGTAAACCTTCCACGAGCCAAAAAACACTTCCCACGAGTATCGAACGATATTTTTCATCACAATGTGCGGAAAAGGGACGTTTTAGGAACGCGAAGCGTGCCACGAGTATCGAACGATATTTTTCATCACAATGTGCGGAAAAGGGACGTTTTAGGAACGCGAAGCGTGCCACGAGTATCGAACGATATTTTTCATCACAATGTGCGGAAAAGGGACGTTTTAGGAACGCGAAGCGTGCCACGAGTATCGAACGATATTTTTCATCACAATGTGTGGAAAAGGCATGCGAAGCGTGCCCACGCACGTAAAAAGTTAGTTTTTCGCACAGTGTGATGAAAAAAAAATTTTTGACCCGAGGGAGGTGTTCGCTGGAAGCGAGTGATACCCTCCCAAGGGTCAAAAAACATTATCCCACGGGTGTCGAATCCTATTTTTCATCACAAAGGGTGGAAAGTAATGAAAAACATTACGCACAAGTGATGAAAAGCCACTTTATGTCATTGGGCCCGAAAACCGCGATCTAACCGAGCGAAACGAGACAAATGACAAATATTGTATGTCACACGGCGACAAAAGTATTATCTGCCGAATGTGATTATAATCTACTATTTACGCACTCGTGTCGAAATAGACTATGTTGACGCGTGGGAGGTGTGTAACACTCGCCAAATGCGAGTGGTACCTCCCCCAAGGGTCACAGAACACTTTTCTTACGAGTATCGAATCCAATTTTTCATCACAATGTGTGGAAAGTGGGATTTTGCGCATGCGGAGCGTCCGTAGAATTTCACTTTACGCGCTAGTGATGAAAAATACAATGTACATGCGTGCGAAAAAGTGAAACTTCATGCACTAGTGACACAATATACTATTTTCTCTCAGTACAGATCACTTCCTATGGCAACTCACTATATAAAGGGCTGATGACGTAAGGCACCGTTCGATTATTCCATAATTTCTCGGGGAAACGGTCCCAGCGAAGGCCAACGCGCCAGTGATTGAACACCTAGAAATATAGGGGTCATCACCAAATCAACGATTAGTGATAATTGAGCGAAATAAAAAAATTGAATGAAAATGAATTCAACCGGTTGAAGACATCACCCCCATTCATTAAGGTAATTACCTCGTTAATGAGTGATCTTGAGTTAACATCGACTCAAGTTCCTTTTTACTATAAATAGTGGACTTGCGTAATTTTTTTTCAATGTTCTAATCTCAAATTTTGGCCCGAAATGATGAAGTTTTTATTTAGTACTTCACGCGTATTAGAAGTTCAATAGAAAACCTAGCCAATTCGCTAGAAATTTCCATTGGAATTCTATAAGATTTCTACAGGATTTCTATTGGAATTCTATTGAACAATTTTACTTGTTTTTTGTGCTGATTCTATTACATATTTAATAGGAGAAAATATATTTTCTCAAATAAATTTCTTTAAAAAATGATAAAACAATTTCATAATTAATATTAATATTAATAGTTTTCAATAATTTTTTTATTGAATAATTTTACATTTGTTCAATATATTTTGAATTTCCGTTCGAATTTTTCTCCTGAGATTTTTTCTAGTAGAATTATTGGGCACAAGTTTTCCGCTGAATTTTGTTTTCTTCTGCATTACAGAATCCGAGTGAAAAAAACTTGGAAAAATGATGCTCAAGCATTCTTATTAAAAAATTCTCAAGAGGAATCCAATATCGAATATCCAATAGAATCAGCACAAAAAACAAATAGAATTCCAATAGAAATTCTATAGAAACCCCATAGAATTCCTATAGAATTCCAATAGAATTTTCTAGCGAATCCGCTAGGTTTCATTGAATTCTTTCGGTGACACGCCAAAATTCCCCCGTCAAAATTCCCCGCCCCATATTTCCCTGGTCGAAATTCCCCCCGTCATTTTTCTTCCCGACATAATTCATGTTAATATTCCTTGCGCCAGTTCTCCTCACCCAATAATTCCTGCCGATAAAATTCCCCGTATGGCGTATTTATGCGGTTTTTTTGAAATTATATATTTGGTTCGTGAAAATCTTTATTTAAATTTGGCATTTTGAAGCGTAATGAACTCGGCGACGTGTGATTGGTAACTGATGGATCGTGGGACTGATATTTCCGTGTCCCCACTATACCTGTTCTGTATTTATTTTTATAATATGACACACCTGTTGAGTGCTTATTGTGATTCTAATGCCCAATCTGTCTACTGTACAAGGCCTTTTTCAATTGATTTTGTGTTTATTATCGTTTTGTCATTGAGATCCTTTGTCCGAGGTACACGGAGAGAAATATTCAAGAAAAATTACGGAACATTTCACGTAATCTGCAAGCGAGAATCGTTTTCAGTGAATTTCTATAGGAATATAAGAGAATAAATCTGAAACGTTCAGTAAATTTTCGGGTCTGTCACCGAAAAAATACGAAAAAGTCACGTAATTTTTCTGGACGTTGTAAAATCTAACAGAAACTTCAAGACTTATTATGCCTCAGAACATGAAAATTCTTGGATGTTTAGGAATTTTTACGAAAAGTTCCGGAAAAATTACGGAACGTGTTGTTAAAATCTCCCCCTCACCGTGACTTACTGCTAGCCGTGAGGCGTCGGACGGATAAATAATTTTTACGGAACAGATCGTAGAATTTATGTGACGATTGACACTTTTTATTGAATTTTACTTCGCTCCCAGATTACGTTTCGGAACGTAATTTTTACGTCTTTTTTCTGGTAATTTTTATTGAATATTTCTCTCCGTGTAGTTCTGTTGCGGGAGGATTTTCTGGCGGGGAATTTTGGTATGTAACCATTCTTTCATACGTGTTCTCAAAAAAAATTTTTTCTCATTACACATTCGACCTCACTCTACCTCATTCGTCATCATGATGTCCCCCTGGAACAATCCCGGCCGGACTTCTGGGTCTTGTTGTGTTCCCTCGAGTATCTCAAGTTCGCCAGATGAATGCTTAACTGAAGATCATTTGATTAAACCCTCCTGTTCAATTAAACCCTCATTGACTAATCGTTCCACCCACCTATGTCTGGAATTATCGGCCTCACCTCGGCGGGCACTTGGAGATGGTAATTTCGCTTTGGAAATGCATTCACCGTCGGTAATGACCACAAAATGATCAAGTAAAGCAGAACTGACATTTTCATAATTATATATTTCATTGATGACGATAAAATGATGGAGATGTTAGAATTGATTCGAGAATGACGAGAACTTGTCACACGAAAACTAACGGGTTTTCAATTTTTTTCCGCCATCGGGAACGTGAAATCCCATTGGCAAATCATTCCGGGGTCACGTGGGGTCCCCACGTGGACCTGGGGTAAGTCATAGAGATGCAAAATGACCGTCATTTTTTAGATCGCGTCATATGACCAAAAAATGACGGTCATGTGACGCACAAATTTTCCAACTACAAATGATTGTCACAAATCATTTGTAACCAAATTGTTGTCAAACCATCTATATAGTTGCATAATGACGGTCATAACTAATTTCCAATTTGTGACGGTCATGAATAAAACAAAATAGTTTCATCTATATGGCGATGGAAAAAAAACGTGATTTCCATTTCTAAATGCGGATTAGGCCAATACAAAAGGAATTCAACTGAAAATTGACTAAGAACAAAATAAAGTTTCATCTATATAGATCATTTTTTCTTGACAAGCTGTGACGATCACAGAAGGGCGAGGGGGAATGTGAGAGCCGTCATAAACGCCTCGTCATGTGACCCTCAATGACGGTCACATGACCGTCATATGACGGGTCATGTGACGCATTTGCATCTCTAGTAGGTCATGTGTGATTTAATGCGTGTTTTGAGTGTTTTCAAGGACAAATAACCGATGGAAATTCATTTAATTAGTGTTGAGACAGTAATTATGTAATTTAATCAACGGAGTGAGTGGTAATGACCGGCTCCAGCGTTCAGAAATCGACGCAGAACGTTTTATTTCTTTGGGTCTGGCAGAATGAGTGGTGAAGTAGGTTAGGGACACTAGGGATAACCGGGATAACCATTCTAATAGCGTTTATCGTGCAACCACGTATGAAACAATTTAAGGGGAGACTACTATGAGTTTTAAAAGTCGTGGGTTATTGGAGTGAGATTTTTCATACGTTGAAGACTGATTATATAGATCTAAAAATGATTAATTGGTGCAAAAAAAATTTTTCTTCATTGTTCGTTTGCCCGAAAACACTTAAAATGCTAAAAACAGTCCCGGGCCTCCAATTTTTGAGCTACAGAAGATTTTTTTTTTCAAAATTTTCGGAAAAATATGTGGAACAACAATTATGAGCTAGTTTTTTGGAATTCTACTCCTACACAGCTGATTTCGGTTTTTTTCATATAAATAAATTCACTATTTGTGTAAAAAAATACAAAACAAGCAAATTTAGCCATTTAAGAGGCGAATTAAAAAAAAATAGCTCGTAATTGTTATTCCACATATTTTTTTGAAAATTTTGAAAAAAAAAAATCCATCGTAGCTCAAAAATTGGACGCCCTGGACTGTTTTTGGCATTTTAAGCGTTTTCGGGCAAACGAACAATGAAAAAAAAATTTTTTTTGCACTAATTATTCGTTTTCAAATCTATATAATCGATTTTCAACGTATGAAAAGTCTCACTCCAATAACTCACGACTTTTAAAACTCATAGTAGTCTCCCCTTAATACAAAAACTTAGCGAATTCGCTAGAAAATTCTATTGGAATTGTCTAGAATTTCTATTCGGATTCTATTAAAATTCTTGGGAATTCTCGTTAAAATTCTATTTGTTTTTGCGCTGATTCTATGAGATATTTGACAGGAAAAAGTTAGCAGATTTCGACTTTTTTATATTATCGCTCTTCTTGCACAGCTTACTGAGTCAGGAAGCTCGCCGCATTTCTCAGCAACCAAAAACATTTTTGAAACTAGCAGAATATTCGTCAGCGGAAAATTCAATTTAGGAGATATTTCAGTGTGGAGAGTCAAATAATCATATGTACAAATTTTTTTTAAGTGCGAAAGACTGTACAATATTTTAAAACATTTGTACACCCCTAGATTCACCTGAGACAAATCTTCTACTGTCAAATCTTTCGCTAGTTTCAGCTTCATCTGTAAAAAATAAAAACTATCATTATATTTTTTACTGAAAAGAATTATTATTATTTCAAATAATTGATTTTTCAGTTTTATAATTATTACATTTTATTATTATTATCATTATCATCACTATTATTCTTCTTATTATTACAGGTATATATATATACCGTCCTTCTAACGGCAAATATTAAAAATACTATATATAAATAATTATTAAAGAATACTTGCGCATGAATTTTCCAAGTTTTTTTTCAGGCGGATGCTGCAATGCAAAACAACGCAAAATATAGTGGAAAAAAATTGGAAAATTCGTGCCCAATAGTTTTACTAGAAAAAATCTCAAGAGAAAAATTCAAACAGAAAAATCGAAATCCACTGACTTTTACCAATCAAATATCTAATAGAATCGGCGCTTGTCATTAAGAGCCCAATGGTCTCGTGCTAATGCAATATCTAATCTCAATTTCTCATGCTAGAATATGACTTGACTGCTACTGACAAATTCTTGCTTGCTTATTAAAAATGGCTTTGTATCGCTGTATGTACAGTAATAAATTTTTAATCAATCAATCGATCAATCAATCAAAAAACAAAGAGAATTTGCACAAGAATTCTTTAGAATTTTAACAGAATCCCCATAGAATTTCTAAAGAATTTCAAGAGAATTTTCTAGCGAATTCGCTAAGATTTTCTATTGAATTTTTTCATACCCGACCACTTACTACGTCAGTAAGCTCACCGCGTTTCTCAGTAATGAAAAAAAATTTGTAGTGTTTCTCGATTTTTTGTTCAGTTGCTTAAACAAGTGACAACTGACAATGGCATCGTCACTTGTTTTACCAACTGAACAAAAAATCAAGAAACACTATCAATTTTTTTTCATCACGCTGTGACGAAAAGTGAACTTTTCGGCACGCTGCGCGTGCCTAAAAGTCCAATTTCCGCCACATTGTGATGAAAAATATTGTTCGTAACTCGTGAAAAAATGTTTTTTAGCTCGTGGGATTATATCACTCGCCTTCGGCTCCTGATATAAACCTCCCACTCGCTAAAAAACACTTTTTTATCACGCTGTGACGAAAAGTGAACTTTTCGGCACGCTCCGCGTGCCTAAAAGTCCAATTTCCGCCATATTGTGATGAAAAATATTGTTCGTAACTCGTGAAATAGTATATTTCGTAACGAGTGCAAAAAAGTGTTTTTTGGCGAGTGGGAGGTTTATATCACGAGCCGAAGGCGAGTGATACAATCCCACGAGCTAAAAAATATTTTTTCACGAGTTACGAACAATATTTTTCATCACAATGTGGCGGAAATTGGACTTTTAGGCACATTGTGATGAAAAATATTGTTCGTAACTCGTGAAAAAACATTTTTTTGCACTCGTTACGAAATATACTATTTCATTACTGAGAAACGCGGTGAACTTACTGACGCAGTAAGTTGTGTAAGAAAATCGCTATTATGATTTTAATTGGAAATGAAGAGGGAAAATAGTGGAATAAGGTGATTGACAATGGTGACAAGGGGCGCCGGTAATGAGCCGAGCAGTGACCATGCTGTTGCCGGGGCTGTCAGTGGATTCGTGACGAGACTCATTTGTCAACCTATCGATGTCATCAAGATTCGGTTTCAGGTGGAATAATCTTTCTTCGTTGTTTCACACAAAATTGGGAGTGGGAACCAGGACATTTACGAACTCAAAGAGTTTCACGCACGAAAAAAGTTGATGAAATAATTTAGCGAATTCGCTAGGCCATTTTATTAGATTTCTATTAGATTTTTGTTGAACTTTCTGTTATAGCGTTTTTCTTGCACTACTAACTGAGTCAGTACGCGCGCCGCATTTCTCAGCAACCCACAAAATTTTTGTAGTCTCTCGATTTTTTGTTCAGTCGGTAAAATAAATGACAACTGACAATGACCTTGTCACTTGAACGAGAAACTACTATCGCTTGTTTCACATAAAACGAACATTTTTTGGGGGTAAAATACGTATGGGAGTATCGAATATCACAGACAATGCAATTTTTTTTGAACTACTGAATCTAGTTTTGCGACAAAAATTTTTTGTCTCGACGTACTCTCTGCATGTTTGCTACAAAAAAAATCCATTTCGATAATTTTCAAAAGAATATTTTCTTGGCACAAAGAAGACTTGTCTGAGAACTCTGTCCTCTGTTTTTTTTATTAGATGTAAAAATCCACCGTTTTGCAAATAAGTTTTATTATTCATTTATAAGAGGGAAATGTTTGAAAAATATCACTATATTGCGAAATTTAATTTAGATAATACTGACTGGTTATGAATTTTTTCTAATTTTTTCCATGCAATTTAATAGAAAAATTAAAAAACTGAAAATATGCAAAAGTACAGCGTAGCCCGGCCGAAGGGTAGAGCTACTTTAAACCGTTTTACCACTTCGCTACTGAATTCAATCAAATGCATAAAATAACCGCGGAAAACTCCAATAATGTATTGATTTTTCTATTCGCACAGTTGCAAGTAGAGCCAATATCCCACGAACATGCGAGCAAATATCGCTCAATTCTGCAGGCAACAAGAACAATAATAAACGAAGAGGGTGTTTTCGCTCTCTGGAAGGGCCATGTACCAGCGCAATTATTGTCAATCGTCTACGGGATGGCTCAGGTATGGAACCATCATTTTCCACTCAATTCGAATCAGTTGGGATGATGAAAATTGATTAGGCTGACTGATTTTGCAGTTCTACTCCTACAACAAAATCATGAAATCATCGAGGAGTTTTGTGACTCCAGACCATTGGCAGAATTCCGCGCACTTTGTCGCTGGGGCAATGGCCGGATGCATTGCAACCATAGTTTCTTTTCCGTTTGACACTGTGAGAACGAGACTCGTTGCTCAAGCTCATCATCAACCTGTTTACAAGGGGTTTATTTCAGTGTATTCGTTAGTATCTTCCTTCAATTAAAACTTTTTAATTTTGTTTTCAAGATAATTCGTCATAATTCAGTGAGTTACTCTCCAAGGAACAGGGAACTTGCATGAAGCTCAATTCTTTCTAATGTCCCTATTCACACATTCCTCGTGTTTGAGGAGAGGATCTGTAAATTGGGTGGATTGTGGGAGGTGTTAGAGGATAGTTAAAGTAGGATGAACCGTGAAAGAAAAAATACTGAGTTTTCTAAAGTCACAATTTATTGGCGGCCAACAGCCACCAAAGTCTCAAAATATGTACACTTTATACACGGTTGAATGTCTCTAGAAAGTTATTAATTGATTTACTGAATTTATACTGATAATTAGTCAACTGCGTTGATTGACTCTAGACTAAATTTATAAAACTGAATAAATGAACTGAGTTGATGTGCTGATCGGAACTGTACTGATACTATACGACTTCTACAGGTGATTTGCTCGAGATAGACTTATACGGTGAGAGGCTAAGCCTAAACTGATTCGCGCGTGTTTCGGTCACTTATGACTGATGACCCGAAGGGTCCCGGAGATTTTCGAAGTAGGTCGAGCTAGTCGACCAGAATGTTCTGGAATTTTAGTTGCGTTACAAACACCTCGTAACGTACGGATAGCAAACGTCGAAAATTATAGAGAAATATTGCCTCGATGTCTTATGATAATTAAGGATGTTCTACACCCTTTCTGCCAAAATTTACGTTTTTTTAATTTTTCTGGCAAACTTATGATGGAATTGACGTGAAAAACTATAACGGTTTTGCGTTTTGTCATTATTTAATGACTGACGAAATTTTAAGGTGGTGCGAACATTTTCCTGCGTTTTCTCTAAACTTTTAAAAAGAATCACAAAACTGTAGAAAAAACGCATGAAAATTATCGCACCACTACGCAACTTCGTGAGCCATTAAAGAATGACAAACCACAAAATCGTTATATTTTTTCACGTCACTCCCATCGATAATTTGCCAGAAAAATGAAAACAACGTCAATTTTGGCTAAAAGGGTGTCGAACATCCTTAATTGAAAATCAGTCGTTTTTGAGGTCAATTTTTCGATCATGACGTCACGAAGACGGTCAGGTAACGCTTCATTGGTCGAAAAAGAAGAGAGTGGGGAGCTATCGTCCTCCACTGGCCGAGGCGCACCTCAAGATTGGGTTAGGTCGGCTCGAGCCATTCTATGATTGGTCCAGCGCTCGACCGTCTGTGTGACGTCATTAGCGATTTCAAAGCGTTTGAAATCTTCAACTTTTGACAACTAATTATTAATTCAGTAGCGAAGTGGTAGAACGGTTTAAGTCAGTTTTGACTATTGACCAGTTTTCAATAAATATCGCGGAATCAAAGGGAAATAGCAAAATGTTTGTTATGAGATTTTTTGTAGAGCCGATTGAGAGCTACAACAACTGTCATTATGAAAATTTCGCTATTTATGTTAGATTTGGAAATATTCCACAAAAACTCAATTGGGAGATGAGTCGACTTGAACCGGTTTACCACTTCGCTACTGAATTAATGACCAATATTTCAAACGTGTGTGAATGAAAAATGAATTATTCATGTCCCAAATTTGAGATTAGAATATAGAAGAAAATTCAAATTGAAATTCCTTCGTATGAACTTCAATTTGAAATCGAATCGATTTTGGTTCATTGATTGTATTCAATGGATCCAGTGATGAAGACGTGAATCAAGTTGAATGAATCAATTTTGGTTGAAAATTAGTTTCAATTTCTGAATAAAAATCCCTGGAACTCAGTGCTTAACACCTACTTATTTCAAATGCGAGAAGTTTTTGAATTCAGAACATTCCAAAGGGATTAAATTTTGGAATAATTGAACATTAATTCAATGTTAATTGGGTCAAGATGTCGAGTAATATACTACGGTTAACAAAAGGCTTATAAACATGGGTAGATTAATTTTACAGAAAAAATCATCAATTCAAGAACGAAAATGTAGATTTCTGAACCCAAAAATTCCACTTCCAGAACGAAGATTGTCTAAAAACAAAAAAAAGGTGCCTCAGTTTAAGTCTATTTATTCTAGATTTGAGTAAAAAGGATGAAAAATTGAGTTTTTTTCTCTGATTTTTACTGAAAATTCTGTGACTGATTTTTACGTACATATAAAATTACATCGATGTTGTAATCATTTCTCCAATCTCACGCATAAAAAAATTTAGTAGAAAAACCTACCGAATTCACTAGTTTTTTTCAATCTATTTTTCTCTTCTCTTCATCGAGAAAATCAAATTAAAAAATACAAAAAATTTTACCCGAGGAAATTGTATAGAGAATATCTCAGTAGAATAAGTGATACAGAAAAATCGAATTCTATTTCTTTTATAGAATATTTTCTTTCGAACATTTCAATAGAACTGGGAATTAGTTTTTATTCCAAAGAATTGAATAAAAACTAATAGGAAATTCAATAGAAATCCAATAGAATTGTCTAGCGAATTCGCTAGGTTTTTTTTATATTTTCATCAATTACCATCGTGGAAATGAGAACGATTATTGATCCTCAAATTTTTTCGTTTTCATTCTGAAATCTTCTGATGTTGAATATCCCTATCTCATTCTATAACTCCATAATAGAACTAATTGACAAGAATATGAAAATATTCTTATTATTCTATTTTCGAATAATTTATAGATTTTTTTTCAACAAATTGTGCACGATAATACATTTCACTTCGCCATTCATGTTTCTCTTTCTTTAAAATGAAAATAATTTTTATTAAAAAAAACCTTTTTAATTGACTTAAAATTTATTAAAAAACAATAAAACAATATTTCAGATCCATCTTAAAAGCAGAATCACCGCGTGGCTTTTATCGCGGTCTTTCACCAACTCTCATACAGATAGCACCTCACACTGGTCTCCAATTCGTATTCTACAGTCTCCTCACAGACTTCTACAGATCATTCTCAGAGGAATCCTCAACAACGGTGCCAAACTCACTGATTGCAGGTAGTGCTGCTGGTTTACTCTCAAAAACCGCAGTGTATCCATTCGATCTCGCGAGGAAACGCCTCCAGATCCAGGGGTTCGAGCACGGTCGCACTGGCTTCGGTAAATTCTTCAGCTGTCGGGGACTAATGGACTGCCTGGTAAAGACCGCCAGGGACGAGGGTCTCAGGGCTCTCTTCAAGGGCCTGTTGCCTAGTCAATTGAAGGCCGCAGCCACCACTGCACTTCACTTCACCTTCTATGAGCAAGCTCTCGTACTTATACAGCATTTACGTGTATAGATGTTTTGAATGTGAAATAAAGAGTTTTATAATTTAATTTAACAAAGAGTTTATCGAAGAATCAACAAGTATTTAGACTAGACCAGTGACATTTACTGGGTTGAAAAATTTGGGGGAGTGGTCGGAGGAGCTTTGATATTTTTATGAAGCTTTCTCGGATGAGAATATTTAATGAATAGAAAAATCTATTGCGTTCCCGAAGAAATTCTAGTGAATTTCAATTGGAATTTTATAAGAACTATGACGAAGTTCAGCTGGGAAATATATTTGGCGACACAGCACACGGCAACTAGAATTTCGGCAAACAAATTTCAAAATCTTACCACTTATGATATTTTTAGCTGAAATTTTCATTAATAAGGCTTCTAGACACTTCAAAATGAGATGTCAAATTTTTTCAATTTTCTCCGAGGCTTGACTGCAGTGTCATTAACAAATTAGGAGCGTTAATCATTCAAGGCCAAAACTTGAGATTAAAAAATGAAAAAAAATCATGCGAATTCCCTATTTGTTTACAAATTATTTGTGGCCATCATTTGTAGTTGAAAAAGTTATACGTCATATTACGGTGCCCGTTACGGCACCCGTTCCGGAAGTTTCGACGTGCCGCTCCTTCAAAAGACTCGAAATAAGTAAAAAAAATGTAGCGAAGCTACTTATATTTATTTCGCATTATTTCAATCTATTGTATTCGCGCTCGCTTTAGCAATCGCAACAAACGCGACAATCCGTAATAATTCGGACATCCTCGATTGGAGAATTAATACCGTTGTCGCAGGAGCACACTCTCGTTCCAGCTCTCATGGTGTAAACCAAAGTTTCGTTTGCTGTGAATAAATTCTAATACGATATATAATAATTCCGAGTGTTATACCTTACAAAATCCTTCGGTCCTTACCGAATATCCCACAAAAAAATCCTGACAGGTAAATGACACGTCATGACAGGTAAATGACACGTCATGACAGATAAATGACACGTCATTTTATTTATTCGCATCCCTGCTTGGGTTCAAATCCAACCTCCGGCGATTTTTCGCATTTCCCCAAATTGATTCGTATAATGCACATTTCGACCAACATACTACTCATCCATTTATCTCCCCCAAATCCTTAAAACCCATTTCCACATTACCCCAACCACCCTCAAACTACCCATAACTAATAGTGTACCCCATGGACACCATGAGTGTCTCTTTAATGGCAGGATGCAGCTGTCTCTCGATGTACTTCGTGAGAGCCTCACTGGCCCCCCTGAGGAAAACATCCTCCATCTCCCTTGCGACATTCTCCTTCGACTGCCAGTCGATAGCTCCCCTCTCATCCTCGAGCAGCAGTTGATGCTTGATCTCCCCATCCAAGTCATCGAAATCAGTAGCACTTGCATTAGATCTCTTTCTCCTCCTGATCTCCGGAAGTTTCGTGATCCAGGGATGACTCTTAGTGGGCGAGAGATCGTACCTGGAGAACGTGAACGCCGATGATGTGCTCTCATTGGCAATCTGAATGTCATCTTCCCTGGATCTTTGAAATTCCTCATCCCTCGGCTCGGCGGCCTCGTAATGACCGTCTGATTGGGCGAATGGGGGCTTATCTTGGCGCTTTATCTGCCTGTCGACACGACCCAGTGGTCGGCAGGCGTATGCGTAGATCGAGGCGAATCTGGGCTCGAGAAAACTGGACTCTGTTCGAATTCGCATTTGACCGCGGGTTCTTGCTATGGGGCTGGTGATGAAGTCGATGCCTGCGCGGCGGAGGCGCAGGGTCATCCTGCAGGACTCGCCGATCGTTGTTGCGCGTCTCTTGTTGGGGAGGAGAGAGACTAGACCGGATATCGTGAGGTCGTTGAGCATTACTCGGCTTCGGAGGGAGTTGTTGGTCGGCTCGAACTGACAACGCTCCACTCGCGCCCAGGAATTCGCTCTACTCTGGTCTCGGGGGAGCTGGAAGTGAAGTAGTATAAAGATACCTCAAATTTTGAAGATTAACGTTCGAAATAAAAGGCGAAAGATTTATGCGTGTATTGAAGGGACACATTTTAAATACATAGAAGAAATATGCAAATACCTAAAAGACTGTAAAATCCAGGTTTAATCTAAGTAATGTGTAATAAGAAGACGTAATTGAATTAATATTGATTAATATATGAAAGTGTAAACAACCTAATGTATGGGTTTCAGCACTCTAAAACAATAAAAAAAAATTTAAAAAATGTTCGAAATAAATTCTAAACGACAGGTAATATGAATGGAAATTTTCTGGTTGAGTTGGTGCTTAATCCGTAGTGTAGTATTATTATTAAGAATTAATTTAGAGCACCGAATGGAGAGCCATGTGTGTAAAGGCTCAGACTGGGAAAATTTAAGTCCAGAAATTCTTACAGAAACTATCTCAATAGATTAAGTTGCACAAAACAATCGAATTCTATTGATTTTTTTACAGAATATTTTCCATTGAACATTACGTCAGAAAACCGAGCGGAATTTTCCAATAGAATCAGCCAAAAACTAATCGAAATCCAATACAATTTTCCAGCGAATTCTCTAGTTTTTCTGGGAAAGTTTTTCTTACGTGTAGTACAACGAGGTCCGTTTAACCATAGATTGGTCACCATATGAGGGAAACCTCGCCGTGCGTCGTTTTTCTTTAATCATAATTGATTGGCTAACCGGTAAAATAAAAAAAAAATTGACTTTGTCAATTGAAGTGTTTAAAGAATTATAGTAGTTTTTAAAATAACATATTTCCCGAAATTCCCAAAGAAAATAAATTATTTCGAATACATGAATTATTGTTTCCCATGTTAAATGAAATTGCCCATTACGCGACGTTGCCGGAAACTCGGTAAACGCGCCCGGGCAGTGTAGAGTGAATTCGGCAACGCCAGAGCCTAAATAACACGGCGGGGAATCCCCGGGGAGGTGACCAGACTAGAGTTAAAGTAGCTCTACCCTTCGGCCGGGCTACGCTGTACTTCTGGATATTTTCAATTTTTTAATTTTTCAACTACATTGCATCGAAAAAATTTGAAAAAATTCACACCCAGTCAGTATTATCTAAATTGAATTTCTCAAAATATTGATATTTTTTCAAACATTTCCCTCTTATAAATAAATAACACAACTTGTTTGCAAATCGGTGGAACCTTTCTTATAAGGTGGCAAAACAATTCTTGATTTTTCACATCTAATGAAAAAAACCTCAGATTTTAATCTTTATTACAATGGAAATGTTGATTTTCATATAAGACACTGGGTTAAATCCTGATTTTTAAACATTTCTTCTTTGAAAAACCAAAACGATACTTAAATTGAGAAAAAAATTAGAATTCCGAATCTAGCCGTTATTAACACCTTTATTAACACCAACTCCAACACTTGTATTATGGGTCGAGATGTATCAGCTAAGCTGTCTTTCTCAATAAAGAATAATAATAATAATAGAATAATAGTAATCGAGTTTTCCTCAATATTTTTGCAGTTTTCAATAATCTTCGAATTTACCGTAAGGGTAGAGCTACTTTAAAGAGACCCCTCCAGTACGGCCTCCATAGGTCATAAGAATTTAAGCGAAAATGCATGGCTCTTCAAAATTAGATAATCTCGAAACTATGGCAGATAATGAAATTAAACCGACGCCATTGGAAACCTCAATGAGAGCGCTTTAATTACATATGGATTTCACAATTTTTCCCTCAAAAGTTATCGAATCTCAGTGATATCGCGCCCTCGTTATAGACCTGGCAACAGACCGACCCCTTGGGGGCCCTTAAGGGTGCCAAGTGAATTTGGCGATGACCTTGAAAATTGACATTCACCAACAAAGTTATAATTTTTTAAGTTAATAGTATTAGACAGATGCTGAACATCGGTGACAATTTTAAAATTTTAGAACTTATGGATATCGAGAAATTAAATAAACAAAATCAGTATTATACACGGCCTCTTATGGAGTTTTGATTAAATTGAACGTTTCAACCCCCTAGGAACTCAAGAAAAATTTGAAAAAATTTGAAGATATGGGGAATGATGTGTTCAATGTGATGGCGACAAAAAACAATGGGGTACCGGGGTGAATAAGAGAGATATTTCAACCCGCCGTATATCCATTTGATCCCATGCTTTCTCGAGGTTCGTCACGCGAAATAGAGGATTTTCCGCATTTATTTTCTCGATGTCTAGTTCCGGTTGCGGGTTTGAAATTTCGTCGGACGGATGAATCCATATTTCTCCAATGATGGAGGGAAAGAAAAAATTTTTTTTGAATCTTTTTTCAAATTCGCTTGGCACCCTTAAATACCTTCACAGCTACTCTGGTAACGGTCATCACGAGTGGAGCAGTGGTCAAACTCCTCTGATAAACAACCCCAGGCTCCTCCTGCTCCTGTCGTACCCTCCTCACCCCGTCCTTGGTCATTGAGTCAAGTGCCCGTTCCAATCGATTTCCACATCCATCCCACGATGACATTGAACTCACCACCTGCCACAAACTCAGAAGCACCACAACCACCAGTTTATCCATTATCCTCCCAACTCAACAACTCAATCCGTCCCACGATTTCACGGAGACAGTTCAAAATGACTGAAAAGTGAGAAGAATAAATGAGAGTCAGCCAGGCACATCAGAGTATCCTGTAGAAACTACACGAATTTTTCATTTTTTTTCTCCATCGCGAGGGAGCTGATGCAACCAGAGCATGGAATGCTCTGGTGACAGTGTAATTTTTCATTGAAGCAATTATTAATAGGAGAAAGACTTGTCACCTCGACTCAACGTTTCAAAACCAATGGAATCATCAGCTTGAGAATTCCCAGATGACGATTTAGCTCCTAATTTCAAGCAAAAGCACTCGCACTTACTGTTTTAAGGGGAGACTACTGTGAGTTTTAACAGGCGTGGATTATTGGAGACTTTTCATACGTTGAACATCGATTATATCGATCTGAAAACGAATAATTAGTGCAAAAAACAATTTTTCTATTGTTCGTTTGCCCGAAAACGCTTAAAATGCCAAAAACAGTCCAGGGCCTTCAATTTTTGAGCTACAAACGATTATTTTTTTTCACAATTTTTGGAAAAATATGTGGAATAACAATTACGAGCTAGTTTTTTTGTTAATTCAGCTCTTACATGGCTAAATTTGCTTTTTTTGTATTTTCTTACACAAACAGTTTTTTTTATCGTTATTTTACATCGCTTTGACCCCGTTAGGGTATACTGTGATGATGATCAAGACTTTAAATGGTTAGATCGCACCGATCTACCTGGCCGGGATTTGAACTCGGAACCTTTCGCATGCACTGAGAAAAAAAATTATTTATGAGAAATAAATTTTCTTAGCACAAGTAAATATTCAACTGTCCCATACAAAACCTCCATTTGATTACTTGTGTCAAGAAAATTTTCTGTTTTTCTTAGAAGTAAATTTTTCTCTCAGTGTGTGAGGCAACGAATTTACCCACTGCGCCAAGCCACCGGGCTTACCCAAATAGTGAATTTTTTTATATGAAAAAAACCGAAATCAGCTGTGTAGGAGTTGAATTCCGAAAAACTGTCTCGTAACTGTCGTTCCACACATTTTTCCGAAAATGTTGAAAAAAAAAAATCTTTTGTAGTTCAAAAATTGAAGGCCCTGGACTGTTTTTAACATTTCAAGCGTTTTCGGACAAACGAACAATAAAAAAAAATTTTTTTTGCACTAATTACTCGTTTGCAGATCTATATAATCGATCTTTAACGTATGAAAAGTCCTACTCCCATAACCCACGACTTTTGAAACTGACAGTAGTCTCCCCTTGAGGGACTAATGACGAAGAAAAACGAACGGTTGTTCTACAAGTTTAGGCGCAATGAATGTGAAATGGTGCGAAAATACGTCTCTAGCCACCTTTCGACTTGGAAGAACAAACAACAATGAAAGTGGACGAAGTGAGTTCCTTTCTTTTCACCTGCGAACAAACCCAGTGGTGGGAGGATTCAGGTGATACACAGGTATTATCACGTGTGTAGATGTTGCATTGAAACCAGGAGAACAGGCGAATGAACGAATCTAGAACGCCAGTGGATCTGGGATGGAACCGATCTTTCATTCCGATGCCCCTCCAGCTCCCTCGAGCATATTCCTCAATGCAACATTAAGAAGACTAGTTCTTTCCGTCTTTTCTCTTCTCTCTTGCGCGCGAATACTTGTGTAACATCCGTCTTTTCACCTCTGGGCTCGAGCAATTTCTTCACCAGACGGAGGAGCTGATCGAAATGCCGGTTGTTATATGATCCATTGTTGAGTTTTTATTTGGCGGTTGGGCTGGGGGTTCAGGGGGAATTGTTGGGGATGTCGTGAAGTCTGCGCAGGTCTAACAACCGGGGGTTGTCAGGCTCCACTGAAGACTTGAAACATAAACGTGTCGATGGAGATGGTGATGAAATGTGTTCAGACGGGTGGAAATGAGGAGGCGGAATCAGTCAATAGTGTAAGTTTTTTTCGGGGACTCCGGGGATCTGCGGGAGAGGGTGCGGGGGTTGAGTAATGCGCGAGGTGCGAGGGAGATTTCGGTGAGGATTCTCATTTGTTCGAGATTTAATGGGTTTCCTGGGACGATTTTGGCAGGAGAAGTGTCGGGGCTTGTTTTAGGAGAGGGGTTTTTCTTTTTTTTTTTAATGGAGAAGCGGTAAAACGATTTTAGTCGACTTGGCCTTTAGCTGAGTTTACGGGCAGTATCTCCGAATCTAAGGGAGATACACGGAGAGAAATATTCAATAAAAATTACCAGAAAAAAGACGTAAAAATTACGTTTCGAAACGTAATCTGGGAGCGAAGTAAAATTCAATAAAAAGTGTCAATCGTCACGTAAATTCTACGATCTGTTCCTCAAAAATTACTCATCCGTCCGACCCCTCACGGCTAGCCATGAGTCACCGTGAGGGGGAGATTTTAACAACACGTTCCGTAATTTTTCCGGAACTTTTCGTAAAAATTCTTAAACATCCAAGAATTTTCATGTTCTGAGGCATAATAAGTCTTGAAGTTTCTGTTAGATTTTACAACTTCCAGAAAAATTACGTGACTTTTTCGTATTTTTTCGGTGACAGACCCGAAAATTTACTGAACGTTTCAGATTTATTCTCTTATATTCCTATAGAAATTCACTGAAAACGATTCTCGCTTGCGGATTACGTGAAATGTTCCGTAATTTTTCTTGAATATTTCTCTCCGTGTACAGGAATTTTTGTAATAACCTTTTTTGTAGAGTATATTGAGGGCCACAAAAAATGTGTTGACAAAAATTTTGCCGTCTTACATTCACTTTTTTCAAAGAGCCTTTTCCATAATAAATGTCTTTGTGCATTGCGGAAAAAGATTTATGAAATCAGCCTTCCCCCTGCATGATATTGGGTGACAGGTCGCCATTTGCCACCGTAAATCAGATACATTTTGCAATTTCTTGTTATTCAACTTATTCTGAATATAAATTAAAAATGCTCTTTGAAAAAATTAAGAATTTTTTCTACTTTTTTTGATTATTCATTCATAATTTTTCAAAACTTCTGCATGATGCAGAACTTAATTGACAATTTCAGACGACGAAAGATGAAAAAAAACATTTTACCATTCCATTCGGAAGCAAATTGCTAATTTAGTAAAAACATGTGGACTATGTTGTGACGAAAGCAATTTTCCACTTGTTTAATTATCCAATTATTGAGAAAAATTACGCAGAATCTGGATAAATCCCTGAAACTATACCTCAGGATGATTCAATAGTTAATTAGAAAATTTCCTGTTCCATTGTTCACCCAGCCTGAAGAATAACAACATGTCCAAGAAACATGAGACGTCCCCCTGGCTTGTCCCTGGTAATCCACAGCTATTTGGATTCTATCAGTGGACAGAGGCACGTAGGCGGGGACAAAAAGATGACCAGAGTAAACCGAGACGATCTGTCAGATGTCTCGTGGAGAAAGAGGATTATCAGGCACCTCTGGCCATGACAGACATCGATCCCGGGTATTTCACCGATCTGACCGGACGGCCAATTAGGGAAAAATTCTCGGGAAGGCGATATGTCGAGCAGGCGAGACAGGTTCTCCGTGCTAGACTGCTCGCCGGATTCGCTCGGGATGATTGTATGAGGATTGACCGACAGTTTGCAGAGGAACGACGGCGATTTGCCAATATCGAGGTTGAATTACGTCTATTTTAATCAATGCATCAACGTGTTTTTCCAGTCTGTTGAATTAATGGAGAATTATTCAGAGGGATTTTTTTTTATTAAAGCTCTAGAAACTCTACACTGAGAGAAAATCGACACAGTTCGCGAACAAGACTTACTTGTGCCAAAAAAATAGTTTTTTGAAAATTATCAAAAAGGATTTTTTGTGCCAAACATGCAGAGAGTGCGCCGGAATGAAAAATTTTTGTCAAAAAAATAGATTTAGTAGGGGAGGTTGGGGTAAAACGGACACTTTTGACTTTTTTTTATGTTACCAGTTTTTATATACCAGTGGTATATTTTATATACTGTTATATACTGGTATATTTTATATACCAGTTTTTTTGAGTCATGAAATTTCTTATCGAAAAATTTCTCTACAATTCTTGTTAAACCTTTCACTCTTGAAGATATTTCTGAAATAATTTCCAAAATTTTTTGAATGACAACATAATTGCTGAATAATTCAATAACTATTGAACAATTTGATATCTAAGTAATTAAATATAAAAAAAATATTAATAAAAATAATAGATTAATAGATTGAAAAAAAATATCAATAAGAATTTTTTTATAATTCTGAGATTGAAAAGGTCTTGTGATATTTTCTCAAAATCCCTTGACCCTAGTCTGGTCACCCTACGCGCCCCAACGGCTTTGGTCACGTCCGCGGGGAAGTGCCGCCGTGTTATTAGGCCCGAACGTTGCCAAATTCACTCTACACTGCCCGGGCACGGTTAGCGAGTTTCCGGCAACGTCGCGTAACAGGCACTTTCATTCAACATGGGAAAAAATAATTCCTCTGTGAGAAAAAAATTGTTTTCTTCGGGAATTTGGAGAATTATGTTGTTCTGAAACTACTCTAATTTTTTATATACTTTAATTGGAAAAGTCAAATTTTTTTGAATTTTTCCGATCAGCCATTCAATGGCAATTAAAAAAAAACGACGGGCTGCGGCGTTTCCCTCATATGGTGACCAATCTAGGGTTAATTCCTTTGAAATTCATCACCCGAAGAATTCCTCATAAATTCCTTGAAATTTTTTTTTTATTTTTATTTTGAAAGGAATTTATTGCGAGCAAGCTCGCAACAGGTCATTGCCCGTGGGCCTTCAGCCAGTGAATACATTTTTCATATAATTTCTTTTTCAAACTGAATATATAATATTAATTGAGTACGTTGATGTTTTTTTTTTTTTAACAGTAGATAATGATTGATACAGGGTTTGTGAGTGAGGCGGAAATGGTATACATTGTAACCCTTGAAATTTCTTAAACCAAAATGTAAAAAAATACAGAGAAAAAATCGTCGCTACGTAACAGCATTCGAGGATTACCTCTCTAAGGATCACGAGTCGAGTATGGATATCCTGACCGAAGCCGACAGAGAGGCGAAGAAGACGAATGCCCTGGCCGGCACGCGCGATCAATTATCCAAGGATTTCGGGCAGATTCGCTTGGAGGTCTATCAGTTGGAGGAAATGTGGAGATTAGCGAAGGCTTGCCACGATTTTGTCAGCAAAATCTCGAATAAAAATCGGGGATCATTAATATCTGAGGAGATTGCTCGGGAGAATGAGAAGATACCAGTGAAAACTGAGGAAACACGAGACGAATTGATGGGACTGATAGGTGAGTTTCATCCTACGAAAATGTGGAGATGAATTCTATTAAATCATTCTGCCCATCCTTCGGTGATGAATTGTTCTCTAAATTTCAGAGATGAAAATTTCATTTGGGGATTCCTTATATTAATCTAGTAATGAATTATTGAAATAAAACTCATCAATTTCATTTTAACATTACATTTTGGAGAATATTCTTGAATCAAGAGGACATTACAATTTTGTAGACATGTAGGAAAAAATTTAATAGAAAAAAATCCGTGCATTCTATTGAATTCCATTAGTTTTTTAGTAGTTTGATTAAAAAATCAAGTTTTTCCACACTTAATAATAATAATAATAATAATAATAATAATAATTAAAAATGCCAATTATCAGGATTAATAATAATAATAACAATAATAAATAAAAATGCCAATTATTATTATTATTATTATTATTATTATTATTCTTATTAATTACAATACGAGAGTGAAAAATAATAAGTTGGAATAAGTAGGATAGAAAAATAAAAATAACTATTAATTTTTTCTCTAAAATATTTTTCATTGAACATTTGTCTTTAAAAAAATATGCAAAAATCACAGAAAACAAATAGAATTTTGAATTTCATATCAACATCTAGGTTTTTTTATTAAATTACCCCATACGTGGAAATATCTTCCATAGGAAACAATGAAATTTCGCTACGTCTCATAGAATTGAAGAAAAAAATTCAACTTTAAGTGGAATCAGTAGAGAAGTAGTAAGACAAGATCTTAATCCACTTGTACTTTAGTTTCTATTGACTATTCCAATACTCAGGACAATTTTCCTGTCAACAGGTCGAATTCTTCTAGGGATATTTCCGACGATCAAGGGAAAATATTAATTTTTGTGAAAGATATTAAATTTCTTTCCATCAGGTTGGCTAATTTCTTTGAAGTAAATCTGTTCCACTCCATCAAATATTCTCACGTGGAACATGTTTTTCGTCAGGCTAATCTCCTTTCGCATTTCCACTACTGATCTACTACTTTCTTCTCCTGGAATTCTATGATGTTGCGGTTTGAAGATGAATTTGAACTAGAATTTTTAACAAAGAAATCCTCACCGAAGATTTATCCATGAAAAAACCCCCTCCAATGCTAGAACAAACTGCGCAAGCGATTTTATGTTCCCACAAGTCGTCAGCAACAAAGTGTTATTGCCTCGTCCGCCCGTAAAACCCACAAACATCTCAAATGTTCCAGAGGCATTCGAGAGGGACATTGGGCAGTTGGAAAGCCCAGAAATTTCATTAACTGACCCCAGAGAGTTGAGCAAAGAATTTAATTCGATGGAACTTAGAAACTTGGACGCTATGATTCATTTGGAGTCTCTTGCCGGACCGATGCAGGAGATGGCCTCGAACATGGCGAGGGCTCAAGAAAGGGTTGAGAAGGAGATTGGATTGATCGAGGAGAATCTTCAGGACCTCAAGGTATCAAAGACCAATTTTTTCTCGCTCATACACTTATATTTAATTATATTGTAATTTATTTTTTTGTTTATCGTAAATTGTCGGTAATGACCACGCTGTCGATGCGACTGAAAATAAATTGAATAAAAAATATATTGCCGAGATTGAAGAACGCTTTTAATTTTTTTTATTTGATTTTTTGCTTCCGAAGGAAAGCTTTTTAATCGTTCAAATTTCAGCTTTGGATTTCTTGTTTTATATCAACCCATTATGAATGTTTTGAACTCTGTCCGTACACTGAGAATTCATTAAAATTTAATTCATATATCAATTTATAGAATTGTTATGATAGAATTGTATTGAATGATGGCTTTAAAGAATGGGTTCGATGTCCCTTGGACCGAGTTCGAAGATGAAGACGATAGCAATAATCGTTGTTCTGATTTATAAACATAAACTTAAAAAATTTCGTATTTTGTGAAAATGAGAATTACGGAAATATTTTTGGATATTGAAAAAAAAACGAAAAAATTAACAATTAATAATCAACAATTAATTTGTTTGCACTAATTATTTACTTTTAGACATATATAATCGATCTTCAATGTATGAGTAATCTCATTCTCAGTCTCCCCTTACACGTACGAAAAAATTCAATAGAAAACCTTAGCGAATTCGCTAGAAAATTCTATTGGAATTCTCCAAACATTCTATGGAGATTCGATTAAAATTCTAGAGAATTCCAATAGAAATTTTTAGCGAATTCGCTAAGTTTTACTATTAAATTTTTTCATGCGTGTAAATGAAGAAGAAATATAATACAATAATGGTGTAATATAATATAATAAATTCAATTGAACAGAATAATATGAAATGATAAATACTACACGATAGAATGAAATGAACTTAAATAATTCAGATCGAGCAAATTCTACAGAAAGATTTAATTCAATCAATTTTTTCTATAAATTGGTTTTTACTAAACATTTTCTACCCCAAAAAACACAGAAAAGCTGTGGAATTTGTCACCACAATCGTCGAAAAAACCAATAGAATGTTCAACCGTTTCGTAAGAGCTTTTTTTCAAATAGAAAAAATCAGTTCGAAAAAAAATCTCCCGATATTCGTTCTACATTCGCAACGATTGATGTTGATGACTTGCAGTCCCACATTGAACTGAGCGAAGAGCGAGCCCGTAAACTCGAGAAATACGCGGATTATCTTCTCCACCGAGTCTTCCGGGACCTGGTTTGCTCCGAATCAGTTCTGCAGCTGCGCGTGTTCATTGAGGACACTTACGAGAGCTGCATCGGCCGGAATGACGCAAGCCTTGATAGCTATACGATGATGAGGACCATTGAGAAGACTTATGAGTATCTCAACATGACTCTGGATAATCTTCCGCATGACATTGTCCGGCTGTGTGAAAAGGAAGGATTTGCGCAGGAAATGAGGGTCTTGAGGGAGGCGCAGGAGGCTGCCAAGAAGGTCAGACATATCTGGAGTTATTGGATTCCAAAGAGTCATATTTTTTAGCCTCATGGACCCAGTTTGTGGTCCCGTAGGGACTTGAGAGCGATATGAGACTCACGTGTGAAAAAATTCTGTAGAAAAACTTCCTGAATTCGCTACACGGAGAGAAATATTCAATAAAAATTACGGATCTTTTCCGTAATTCCGGAGCGAAACGTGATTGTAGGACATTTTATGGAACTGTCACGGAATTTTTCTGGAGCGTTCCGTAATTTTTATCTGAATCTCCTGTGAAAAATTACGATATCGTCACTAAAATTTTCTGAGTCGATTTCGTAATCGGTGAGTGAATTGTGAGTTCTGTAATTTTTACTGAACATTTCTCTCCGTGTAGAGAATGTTATTGGAATTTTCTAGAATTTATATTGGGATTCTGTCAAAATTGCACGGAAGCAGGGATAGCCATATTCATAAATCATAATTACCGGTAGATTTTGAAGCCGTCATTTTAGTTAATATCATTCTTGAATTTTTCATTATTTGAGTAACCATCAATTTAAATGTTCAAATTTTGAACTGTTAAAATAATGATGAACTGCTTGAATAATGATGAATCAATAATTTAGATAGGAAGATTGCCGATTATTTGGTCAATCGATAATCTCTTTCAAGAAATTAGAACTATTCGCTTAATGGAAAATTTACAGTTCCATATTATCAAATATTGAGTTCATTATTAAGGTACTTCATCAGTTAGTTATACTGGGTGAAAATTTCGTAATGAACTGAAGACCTAAAATTTGGTTCATATGTTGTTGAGGACATGTAAAAACGACTCCCAAAATTTTAACTATTTTTTCCACGCGAATTTTTTAGATATCCATCGTCAAACATTCAATTTTTATCTATTTCAAGTTTTTGTCTTTTGTAATCCGTTTTGTCATTTGTAATTCCGGAGCGAAACGTGATTGTAGGAAATTTTATAGAACTGTCACGGAATTTTTCTGGAGCGTTCCGTAATTTTTATCTGAATCTCCTGTGAAAAATTACGATATCGTCACTTAAATTTTCTGAGTCGATTTCGTAATCGGTGAGTGAATTGTGAGTTCTGTAATTTTTACTGAACATTTCTCTCCGTGTAGAGAATGTTATTGGAATTTTCTAGAATTTATATTGGGATTCTGTCAAAATTGCACGGAAGCAGGGATAGCCATATTCATAAATCATAATTACCGGTAGATTTTGAAGCCGTCATTTTAGTTAATATCATTCTTGAATTTTTCATTATTTGAGTAACCATCAATTTAAATGTTCAAATTTTGAACTGTTAAAATAATGATGAACTGCTTGAATAATGATGAATCAATAATTTAGATAGGAAGATTGCCGATTATTTGGTCAATCGATAATCTCTTTCAAGAAATTAGAACTATTCGCTTAATGGAAAATTTACAGTTCCATATTATCAAATATTTAGTTCATTATTAAGGTATTTAGCTAATTAGGTATTTAGCTTATTATTTAGCTAATTAGCTGCTCCAATTGTTTTCATTTCAGTTCGACTTGATGCATCGACTTCTCGACGCCCTCCGTCGAATAATGGAGCCGACAGTTCTCAAGCCTCGCCCGAAGTCCCTTCCCAAATCAACAGTCACACGAAAACAGAAGAGATCTTCCTCAAAAAATCTCCCACGAAAGTCTCGTGCCCTCGCATTCTTCACTAACAAATGTGAATCCGACATTCACCTCCTCGATGATTTGAATTTCGAGGAAAAAAGCCCCGAGAATAGACCAGAAGGAGGTACCCAAGTAATTGACGAAAATTACAGTGACTGTCGGGAAGAAATGTCGTGATTCTCGCCTACGCTTTCTTCATACTGACGAGTCACAACTTTCTGCAAATAGGAAATTCTTCATTCTCTGTTGTTAACGAGAAAAGCCTAGTCATTTGTTTGCGCGGGGTCCTCGCTGCTTCACGATGATGTGATGATTTTTTCGTGAGTTTTTTCTACCGTAATCGTTGAAATTAAGGGGAAGGGAATTATGGGATGAGTGCGTGGGCAGCCGCGTGAGGAAAAAGGAAATGGATCGATTCACGTGGGTGGTTTTTTCTCTTTTGACACTTTGATGTACTATGAAAAATAAATTTATTATGGACTTTAAAAGGTAGTGCGCTCGATTGATTTATTCCTGATCCTGCGATTAAAAAGTTCTATTCGAGGGAGGAGTATTTTACGTAATATCGCTGTCATTTCAGTTGTTGACAGAGTTCTCAAATAAGTTTTACTTGTGCCAAGATAATATTTTTTTTAAATGATCAAAAATGGATTTTTTTTGGGCCAAAAATTGCATTCTCTGTGCAAGCAAGTTATGTCATTTCTAATAATACTTCTTCGTTATTCGATACTTCCGTACGTATTTTGCTCACGAAAAATATTCGGTTTATGCGAAACAAGGGGTAGTAATTTTTCGTTTCGGGTATTAATAATCACACACAAGGAACGAATTCTTAAAGGAAATCGCGTGCTAAATGGAAAAAGGTCGTATTGACCATTTTGGGATTTTTAGGTCAACGAAGTGGAAAAAGGTCGCATAAACCTAATCTGAAGAACAGGAAATCTGGACGATTTGGGCTCTCTAGAATCATTTTGACCCAACTTTTGAGGACAATTTTTTCTTGAGCTTACAACCTTTTCCACAATTTTTTCTCCGGTAAAAATTTCTGTAGAATAATGTTTATTTCTTTAAAAGTACGATCGAATATAAAAAAAAGAAGGGAAAACAGTGAAAGGATTTATTTCGTTCATTTTTCTATTATTGGACAAAAAATAAATTTAATGGAATTCTAAATTTTTGAGCAACAGAAAAACGAAGATTTCCCAGATTACTTAAATTGTTTATCAATTCCAAATTTAAGAATATATTTAAGAATATGTACCTGCATTTTCCGGATTTCTATTGAGTTTCATCGAATAATTCAACTGAAAATGATCAAATTGTGAATTTTCAATGACGGAATTTCACGGAATTTCAGTAAAAATTCTCGTCCGATCTCTGTCACCATTTGTTATCGACAAGATCCTATTAATGCAGTGCAGTTGTCAGGAACGGGAAACATGAAAAAAAATCTCCTGCATCATTTTGCGAATTTTGCTGAAATCAGTAAATTTGGGTGAAAATGGTAGGCAATACTTTTTGTGGCCCATAAAATTCTATTCCAAGAAGAACTGATGATTTCTCCTGTCACCCTTCGTAGTCGATACGAATCTATTGTTAAAGCGAAAAAAAAATTAATTATTCTGTAAATATCTCTGAAACTGCTACGCGAAAATTTAGACTTTCCTCGCAGCGGATGAAATTCCTCAAGAAAAACAATTTCAAGATATTGTCTATTTCTGTAGAAGATTTTTGGTAAAATAGAGATGAGCAACACCTTCTCATATTGTTTACGAACCAAAAATTCTGAAATTATTTTCAGAAATGATTCACTGAGACTTTTTTCTGAATCGCCTCCTGCAGAAACTTATAAATGCTTAAAAAAATATTTGAAAAATTAAAGTAATCAAATTCATTTTGAACTCACAAAAAGGATAATCAATGAAAAACGTCATGATTTTCCTCATCAGATTTATTTTTTCAAAAAAATTTGTATTCATTTCGAAAATTATACGTAATACTGCCAATTCTCATCTGACCTCCGAATTGTTTAATGATACAGATAAATAATCTACTGCATAAATATGATATCCATCGATGAACTGAACAATCCCACCGAATTTCCTTACATTTTTTACACAAAAAATTATCTATATTAATAACGTTCACTCCCAACGCAATTATAACCAAGTCCAAGTGGTCTCTCCCCTCTCATCAATGAAAAACTCGAGATAAAATATTCGAGACTAATAAAACACAACAAGGGCAAGTACAAGTATACAATTCTCTTAATAATACATTTGTCGTCACTTAGTTTTTTTTCGTTATAAAAAACAACATTAATTTCTTATATGGTTCCCTTAACATCTAAGACTCATTTGCTTGAACAAATCTCCCATCGATAATTGTTTATTGAGTTTCAATGTGACTTTCAATCGTTGGAGGATCGATTGTTTCATCTGCTCAAGCAATTATTCCAATCTTTATTACAAACTCTAAGTGTCACGCACTTTACAGTGACGCAGTAGAAATACTTGTATTTACAAAAATCTTTATCATTGCCACACTCATTCAATAGTATATTGGTAGACGTTAAAAAAAATAAAAACAATGTTTATCAATGTCGACTAGTATCATCACTCTATTTTAGACTCGTGAATGTGTTGTACGAAATGTGGTCGAGTGGAGATGCGAGTCATTTCTGAATTTGTATTCAGTAGAAAAAGTGGTAAGACGTGAAAGATGAGACGTGACAATTTTCCAGGTTGTCTTAAAGATCGAAGTATCTTAATAACGAATGATTTTAGGGGGAAAGGTCAAAAGGCAGTTTTTGTTGCTAATTTTGTCAGCTACAAAAATGGTCATTTGACATTTTCCCCCAAAACCAGTAGTTTCCCAGATAAATTGAAATTCATCGGTTGTGTTGACCTATTGTAAATGATTTTTTTTTCTCTTCTTTTCTTTTTTTGTTTAATTTATTTCTTTTTGTATGAAAAGCTGTATAAAATTATTGGTTTTGTGCTAAATAAAAAAAAAGATCGGTTAATGTCTAAATTAATCAATTTTGGGGATTATTTTTTATCTTCTTTTTCATCGATATCGGAAGAATTTGAAGAGATGAAATATTGAAAATTGTCTCGTTAGATAACTAGGCAAATTTCCGTTGGGAAACTCGGCCCGATGACATTTTCACCCCTCAGGTTATCGACATAACGACAAAAAATGGTGTCATCATACGAAAATGGATTTTCTGATATCTCTGCGAATAATTGAGCGAAATGGGTCATCAGCCAGAGTTTTCCACCGGAAATTTCTCTGGTTCTGCGAGTCCACTCTCTATCCTCCGTCTCCTCAACTTCCTGAGAAATTCGATAAAATTTACGTGGAATTTGTAAAACGTATCATGAGTCCATTTTTCGCATCTTGTTAAAAAGAGAATTATCTCACAATCAGTAACGAATAATCTTAAGAGAAAATATGAAAAGGCATTTTCTGTTTCAAATTTTTTTGGCCACAAAAAAGATCTTCTGACATTTTCTCCTAAAATGATTAGTTTTCGAGAGAAATTGACTCATTATTGTGATTCGTTATTTATGATTTCTGAATTATTTTCATTGATATCGAAAGAGTCTGGAGAGGTGGAATATTGAAAATAGTCTCGTTATATAAGAAGGGCATTCTTCGCTGGAAAACTCAGCCCGATGACCTGTTGACCCCGGCAGATTATCGAAATACCGACAAAAAACGGCTCCATCCTACAAAAATTGGATTTTCCGATATCCCCACGAATAAAGGAGCGAAATAGGACGCCACCCACATCCTCCACAATCCTCCATCTCCTAAACTCCCCGAGAAATTCGACAAAATCCTCGTAAAATCGACACAACGCATCAAGTCTATCTTTATTTTGACATTTTCCTAAATTGAAAATAAATCGACAAATAACAAACTTCTGAAAATTAACTCATTACGATTCACCATTTTACCACTGAATTAATCAGTAATTTCATCTCTCTCGCATTCCGCTGGACCACAAATTTGACCGAAAACCAGAATTCAATAAAAAAAAACAAAATGACTACTGAGCAAAAACTTCCATCATACGGAGAACAGTGATAACTGGTCAATTTCAGGGATCACACGAAGCTCGAAAACATGCGAAAAAACGATATGTATTTCCGAAACAATCATTAACGAATAATTGACCATCAATTGCCAGCAATGACGTCCAAAATCTCCCCCTCCCCCTTCTGAATTTACGAAAACACTCTCAATAATTTTTCTAGGTCCTCGCTAACTAAACTGATTACACGAATCGAGGGGAATCCCCACTGAAATTTTGAAATCGCTGGTGCCTGATGAGTATATTACTCTAGTTTTAATGTAAGAAAAAATAAAAAATAGGTTTTGATTTTTTTTTTATTAGACAGAGGCTTCAGGGGACTAAAATCTTTGAAAGTGTCTTCATGAAGTCAGTCTATGGACTCAAATTTTGATGCAAACGTACATCATATGTACAAAAACGTAGGCGAATAAGGTTTTTTGAAAATTTCTATTTTTTAAATTATTCTTTGAGTTATTTATTTATTTGAAAAATTTCATCTTCTTTTCCATTTTTTTATTTATTTTCATTTTTTTTTCGTGAAGTACGGACTTTTTCAGATTTTATTCGTTCAGAACAAAATTTTGTTTATTCAGAATATAGTGAGAAAAATTATGCAAAAATCTGAAAAAAAATCATACTCCAATAATTCACTATGTACTTCAATCTCACTGATTTTTAAAAATTTTCAGCTGTTGCAATTTTGAAAAAAAAGTTCTCAAAAACTCAAACACAGAAGATTTTCAAAAAGCCTCATTTAGTTATATTTATGCATTTATTCTGTATATGTAAACAAAAATTCAAATTAATCGATTGAAAATTGTGTCATGAGGACACGTGAAGATTCCACCAATAAAAAAAATCAAAACCTATTTTTTTTCATTTTTTCATACTGAAATTAAAGTAGTAAATTCATTAGCGAAGTGGTAAGACAGTTAAAGTAGATTTTGACTATTGATCAGTTTTCAATGAATATCTCGGAGTCTAAGACAGCTGGCAAAATTTTTGTTATTACCTTTTTTATCGGGTAAACTAATAGCTACAAAAAAGATAATTAGAAAAATTTCGGTATCTCCCTCAGATTCGGAGATATTCCACGAAATCTTGGATGAGAGCTACGTCGACTTGAATCGTTTCAAGTTTTATCGCTCAAAGTTTTGGCGCTTGCTACTGAATTCATCAGCCCGACAAAGAAAGGCCCCTGCGATTTTAGAATTTCAGTGAGTCTCCCTTTAATAATTAACACTGGAAAGCTCGCTTGAGTCGTCAGACTCGTCAACTCAACAAAAACAAGTGGGATAAACTCTTCGGAAGCACCAGGGTAATTGCAGAAACACCATAGACACGGACACAGGGAAGGGATTAATAGAAAAATGGTGCAAAATATGTAAGTGAGGCACAAGTACGTAGGATTTGATGGATTAACTCGGTAATAGACGTCAGTCATGATTCGACACAGTCTCTTTTCCATTCTGACCTAAATATGCGGCTGCATCTAAGAGATTACATTGTTTTCTTCTCGTCCATAAACGTTTTCGTTTGAAAATGAAGAACATTTCCCTCATTTGTGGAATTAAAATCGTGTGAAGTGATAAAACTGGTTGAGTCAAGAGTGATTTGTTTGTTTATTTAGTTGTGTGAATATCTCGAGAACAAGTTGTTTTAGGGGAAAATGTGAGAAGAACTTTTTTGTCGAGAAATCAATTATCAACAAAAGAAATTTAGTCAAGTTTTCTCGTAAAATCAATAATTGCCGAGATAAATCCATATTTATTGAGGTGATATGTCGACAGGAACCAATTCTCATCAACGTGACTTCTTGATTAATTCCGGAAATATCTCGAGAACGAGTGGAATTACAAGGAAACATCAAAGGACTTTTTTGTAGAGAAAGAAATTTTCAACAGAAAAGATCTTACAAAGTTTTCTCGTAAAATCGATAACTACTTAGATAACTTCATATTTAATGGAGTCTATGAAAAGCTGTATAAATTTAGTGGTTTTGTGCTGAATAAAAAAAATTTAATGAAGTGATTTCTCCACAAGAATCGACTCTTCTACCAAAAATCTTCCGAAGTTTTCTTATCAAATCCACAACGACCGAGATAAATTGTTAATTAAAGATATGAGGTGTCGATAAAAATCAATTTTTAACTTCTTTGTTCATTAAGTAGACATTCCGAGTAGTTCTAGAAGAAAGAACCCAAGGATTTTTCAAAGAAACAATGTTCAACAAAAGAGTTCTTTCAAAATGATCTCGTGAGATCGTCGATTACTGCGATAAATTCCCCTTTGAAGGAGAAATATTGACTTCATTGAATTATCATCACTTGAAACTGTTCAAGTTTTATCACTTCACAGCTATCGTTGGCTCTCTCTAACCATTAAAAAATCGTTGCTTCTTTCCTGCCGTCATTCTCCCCGGGTCGTACCACCCACTGAAAAAAGCAAATTGTCCATTTCTCATGCAACACTGATTCTTCCAAAATCCAATGCCGCTGAAAAACCTGATTGACGAGTTTGGTGCATCACCACTGCATCAGGACATCTGAATCCAGTGATTCGAGGACAGTATCAGAATACGCACGTACAGTCCTCCGAGGCCCGGGCCTACCTCGCCCTTTTGCGATTTAATTTGGCGAGTTTACGTCGTTTCTGGATGAGCTGGTAGAGAGTGTCGAGGCCCTCGTGCAGGCCTTCTCCGGTAATGGCACAGGCTGGTTGGACCCTTACGCAGGAACTGCCCGGTGAGCTCGTTAACTCTAGGACACCGAGGTGTTTTTCCAGTTCGCCCACGTCTTTGGCACCTGGATGTACAAATTTAGAATCAATGATAGGGGGTTTCAGTGAGTTAATGACGCACTAATAAATTTCATAGAAAAACCCAACAGATTGGATAGAAAATTCTAGGGGAGAAGTGGGGCAAAATGAATTTTTTTTTCAACTATTTTTCTTTATCAACGTTTTTTTATTATTGGGAATACTGCTGAGAATAATAATTTGCCATTCAGTGGAATGGAAAACTATTGAGAAGTTTTGGATTAACTGAAAAGAAAATGAAACAGCAAAATCCAAAGTCCAGAGGAAGGCCCAGAGGAGACCCAGAAGGGGAAAAGGGAAAAGTGATGCTGAATTTCAATCGAATGAAAAAAGAAAAGTGTAATCGCCCTGATTTAATCAATTGAATTGTAGACCCTTAATTTTGGAGTCTTAACTTCGAGCACCAAATTTTCATCACCAGAAGTCGATTTGGATTTAATAATATAGAGAGAGAGACCCTTATTTTCATTCTTGTGACCCTTAGTTTCTGACCCCCATGACCCTTATTTGGACCCTTCATTTGACCCTTATTTAGATCCTTAATCTGACCCTTGTCAGCCTCATTTGGATCCTTAATTTGACCCTCAATCTAACCCTTATGACCTTTAATATGACCCTCGTGACCCTTAATGTTATCCTCATGATCCTTGTTTCTGACCCCCTTATGGCCCTTAATCCTGACCCTCATGACCCTTATTCCAACCCTCATGACCCTCATTTTGACCCTTATGACCCTTAATTTTGGAGTCTTAATTTCGAGTACCAAATTTTAATCACCAAAAGTCGATTAAAATTTTTATAATACAAAAAGAAATGAAGAAAAATACGCGGAAAAAACTGGAAATTAAAAAAATTAAAATTTATGCCTGAAAAATGAAAAATAATTCTCATAAGAATTTCTATAAAAAAATCAAAATCCATTGAGTTTTTTAAATAAAATGTCTCTTGACAAAACGACACGATAAAGTTGCAGAATCTTCTATTGAAACGGTTCAAAAAACAAATAAAATTTTTAAATAAAATTCCAATCGAACTTCAGCAGAATTCCTATCAAGTTCCGGTAGAAATTGAGTGATATTCTGTTTCATTTTCGAAGGCATTCAACATTCGTCTTTTTTTATTGCAATTCAACATTCTCACTGCCGTCTATATTCAAATTCTCATTCGACATTCCATTAATTCATTGGAATTTCAGAGATATTCTCTCTTGTTGCAGCACTCTCCATCGGAATCCGATAAAATCCGAAATTGTTAAGCAAACTCCCATCCATTCATCTCAATTTAGTGGGAAACAATTCCATTATCGGGAGAACGACGGGTGAATCGTTAACGACAGGTACATCCGCAAAAGAGCCCGTGATATAGAAAACCTCTTCAGCATCGATTGGTTATCGATGACGAATTCTTTCAACACGTCAGTGTAATAGAACGACAAAAGCCTTTTGCTGTCACAACGTCGCCGATAAATTTATGAGGAGTTAATATTATCACGTCATTTCAGGGTAATTCGAGATAAAAACAACCTACGCTTATCTGTCCACTCCCTTTTACAACACTTGTATTTCATTTATTTCATAATCGTTATTGAAAGTGAGATTTTTTTATTGAAAAAAATGTCGTAGTGATTGATTTTATTTCCTTCTTTCGAACCTGAGGAAGCTAGACGAATTCTTATGAGGATTTTTCCGGTAATTGTCACTTTAAAATCTGATGAATTTTGAAATATTATGAGATTATCATGAAATTAATCTGATAATATTTCATCAGATATATTCATGACATGTTATCATGAAATGTCTCGAGGATGAGTAATTTTAGGAAGAAATATCAGACAACTTTTTTCAGAAAGTTGAATTGTCTCGGAAAATTTAATTTAAAGATTTACAGTTGCAATTTCCACGACACATCTCCGAAATTTGTAACAAGTGACATTTCCACTGAAATTTCAACGATTTTCGTCACTGAAAAATCATAATTTCATGAAAAAATCGATGGAAATGGTGCGTTTTAATTCAATTATTCAATGAAAATGAGCAAAAATGAAGAAAATTCCGGTGAAGGTTTGTAAATTACAAATTAATTTCGAAAGTTATCTCGATTGTTTCTCCATCTTCAAATATTCCAATCTCCTCGCCTCTCCATATAACTGAATTATTCAATTACTTTGTAAATTCATGCTTCTGAGGCCAAATCTCAAGGAATTTTTACTTATTCATGAATCACCATTCGGCACTATTTTAATACCGATTTACCTCAACAGCATCTCCAAATTCACGGACAGTTGAGCAGAGGAATTTCCGCAGAAAATGTCTCAATATTGGAAATTTGCACAGAAAAATCTAATTCTATTGATTCTTTGCATAATTCCTAAGACAATTAAACAATAAAAAAATCCCAAATTTGAATGAAAATTTCCACGAAATTCCGATTGTTTTTTAACAGTCTGAGATGATTGCATAACTGACAAAAATATTTCAATCGCCACGCCTCTCGATATAAGTGAATTCATGCTTCTAAGGCTAAATCTCAAGGATTTTTTTTTTATTCATGAATCACCATTCGCCACTATTTTAATACCGATTTACCTCAACAACATCTCAAAATTCGGACAGTCGAGCAGAGGAATTTCTGCTGAAAATGTCTCAATAGAGAAATTTGCACAGAAAAATCTAATTCTATTGATTCTGTGCATAATTCCTAAGACAATTAAACAATAAAAAATCCCAAATTTGAATGACAATTTCCGCGAAATTCCAATTGTTCTTTAACAGTCTGAGATGATTGCATAACTGACAAAAATATTTCAATCGCCACACCTCTCGATATAACTGAATTATTCAATTACCTCGTGAATTTATGCTTCTGCTTCTTTCTTTTTATTCATTACTCATCATTCGTCACTACTTTAATACCGATTTGCCTCAACACCATCTCAACATTCGACTCGTATTTTCTCAACGTGACGTTTATCCCCCTTTACAACTCGATGATTGAGATAAAAATGACTATTTACCTGGTAAGTCTTGTTTATTAGCCAAAATGAGTACGGGAACACCTGTGTTATCAGGACTCCTCGCTGTCCTCGTGAGCTCCATCTTGGCTTCTTCGAGTCTCTCGGTGTCGCAAGAGTCAACCACAAAAATAATACCATCTGTACACCTCGTGTAACTCTTCCAAAGTGGTCTCAGCTTCTCCTGACCTCCCACGTCCCAAACCAGAAAATTCACACCTGCAGAACACATTGTTCTTTCTCACGTTCCACTCTCTCATTCTTTTTTATATCGCCAGACTATTGCGGCAATAACCACTGGTGATTTAGAGATATCAAAGTGGAATAGTTCGTGATTTAAAATTGATTCTAGGGTCTTGAAAAATTGAGCGAAATCGGAGCTTTTATTTGAGCCTTTTCGTTATTTTCTTTTTCAAATTTCAAAGGTACAAATTTAATTCAGTAGCGAAGTGGTAAAACGGTTCAAGTCAATTTTGACTATTGGCCAGTTTTCAATGAATAACTCGGAATCTAAAGGAGATAGCAAAATTTTTGTTATATGCTTTTTTGTAGAGCCAATTGAGAACTACAACAGATGTGATTACGAAAATTTCGCCATCTCCCTTAGATTCGGAAATATTCCTCAAAAACTCAATTGGGAGATGAGTTGACTTAAACCGGTTTACCACTTCGCTACTGAATTTTTCACTTGTAAGAAGAAAATCAAAGAATTTTTATTGTTTTATATGATTGTTCATTCATTATCGTGAGATTTTCTTCTGAAATAATTCTCGAAAATGAATTTACAGAAGATTATCTTTCGTTTTCCATGACAAAATTCAGGAGAAAAAAAAGCGAAATTCATTGTCAAGAATTTCTGTAGAAAAAATCGCAACAGAATTAATTGTATTAATTGTATTAATTGTATTAATTGTAAAATTCAACATCTTTTTGAATTTCTTCCGGTAAATGTCCAAGTATTTTTATAGAAAAAAATCCAAGAGAATATTCATATAGAAAAATCGAAATATATTGACTTTTTCTTATCAAATATTTCATAGAATGCAAAAAACTAATAGAATTTTAACGAAAATGGACAGAATGTTGGGGGGGGGG